ACACCAAATATAAGCTAGATCGGTCCGGTTCTCACTGAAATTCCCTAAAGGCCCTTATAATAATATTACAATTACATTTCCAATTGGCTATAGCTATAGAATCCCTGTTGGAATCAATCTTAATTAATATCTAGCATAAGAAAGTCCTTCAATTGCCCCTAATTCCAAGCAATTTGGCTTTCATATTTCGTTCTTTTCAATTTGATCCTTATATTTTTACAGAGATTAAAATAATTTTTACTATTAAAATTTAAAATTTTTTATAATATAAAAAATTAATAATATTATGATACATCTTTAAAAAAGAAAAAAAGACAGATGGAGAAATAATAATTGTTACCAAACTAATTATACCTATTGGGTATGCAGAAAACTTGAAGCTATACTTTGGTCATCTTTCTTGACACCACCACGCATTTGCATTGAGATAAAGGGTAGAAGGTAGAAGAGTAGGATGACAAAGGCTTTCCCCACTATTAAAAGGTCAATGAAGACAAACTCTTTTAACTTTTTCATGCAAGGATTGATTTATATTTATGTGAAGTTTACTTTGATTGCTAGTATATTAAATAAACTCTTATTATTAATATTACTAATTATTATTAGTTAAAATATCATTATATCATTTTATATATTGATGGATATTAAAAACGAAAAAAATCATATCAATATACTACGTTTTTTATTATGACATTCCAACATGTTACATTAATTACTTAGAGTCTTGCAATATAGAAAGCAAAGCCTGAGGACCAAGGAAAATCAAACATCTCCATGCAACAATCATCGGAAGAAAATTACTTGAGTCTCAGAAAAATTCTAATTCAATAAGCATGCATGATGCATGAGATAACAGGTACAAAAATTCACTGGTAAAGGTTTTATTACATTAAGCCAATAACAAATCAGATATTCTACTGGCTAAAGACAGATGCAGACACTACTGTGTCATGTAACCAAATATAAGCAGAAATAGCAGAATTTTAAAACTAGAAGAAACAAAATGTAATTGGAAAAGAAGAAAAAATTATGATCGGGTTATATGTATCTCAAAAATTGTCAGTTCTAGACCAACCCGGCACCTTGCTCCACAATATGCTTCTATGCCACAGCTGGCATGTCCTTAAGCCATGGATCCAATGGCTTGCCAATGGAGTAGACAATGAACCCAATTTCCCTCAGCTTAGCTACATCTGCAATGTTACGACCATCGAAGACAAACGCAGGCTTCTGCATGTTATCATAAATCTTTTGGTAATCAAGGGTCTTAAACTCATCCCACTCTGTCAGAATGCAAATGCCATGAGCATCCTTTGTTGCCGCATAGGCATCCCAAACAACACTAACTTGCTTGATAGAACTAGGGCTCATTGGCTGAAGATGAAGTGGATGGTCCCAGTCAAACTTCTTCATTGAAAGATCCCTTTGAATCTGCTCTTCATTGACTTGAGGGTCGTATATGCTCAGTCTAGCCTTGTCACCCAACAGCCCTTTGCACACATCAATAGCTGGGGTCTCCCTAGTGTCACCAGTGTCCTTCTTGAAAGCAAATCCAAGAATGGCAATCTTCTTCCCTGATACTGTGTTAAACATTGAGGAAACAATCCTGTTCACAAAGCGAGTTTTCTGGTAGTCATTCACCTTAATGACTTGTTTCCAGTAATTTGCCACCTCTGGGAGGCCATTGCACTCACAAATATAGACCAAGTTCAAAATATCCTTTTGGAAACAAGATCCCCCAAAACCCACACTAGCATTCAAGAACTTGGGTCCTATTCTTGTATCCTTCCCAACAGCATGAGACACTTGGCTCACATCAGCACCAGTGGCCTCACACAAGGCTGACATGGCATTAACAGAAGAGATTCTCTGCGCCAAGAAGGCATTGGCAGCAAGCTTCGACAGCTCAGCAGACCAGAGGTTGGTGCATATGATCCGGTCCACAGGGACCCAGTGGGCATAAACATCCCGCAATGCTTCAATAGCCTTTTGACCTTCTGGGGTCTCCCTGCCTCCTATAAGAACACGGTCAGGTTGGAATAGGTCCTCAATTGCAGTTCCCTCAGCAAGGAATTCAGGGTTGGAGAGAATCTGAAAGTTGATGCCTTTGCTGTTGTGGGTCAAAATTTTCTCGATTGCCTCAGCTGTTTTAACAGGAACAGTCGACTTCTCCACCACAATCTTGTCAGATTTCGATACATCAGCGATCATACGAGCAGCACTCTCCCAGTAGGTCAGATCAGCGGCTTTTCCAGCTCCAAGACCCTGAGTTTTGGTTGGGGTGTTAACTGAAACAAACACTATATCAGCCTCGGAAACATGCTTCTCCACATCAGTGCTAAAGAAAAGGTTCTTTCCTCTGCACTGCTTCACCACCTCATCCAGACCTGGCTCGTAGATGGGGAGTGCATCACTGTTCCAGGCATTAATTCTAGACACAGAAATATCCACAACAGCCACTTCAATTTCGGGGCATTTCAAAGCAATGACAGCCATGGTAGGCCCACCGACGTACCCAGCTCCAATGCAGCAGACCTTCACCATTTTTAATAGTCTACAACATAAAAACATCCAATTTACGAAAACAAAAATCAACCAAAATTCATTCCATTCCAAGATTTGGAGCATGTAAGCACATGATTTGTAAAGAGAACTGCTCCCTAAACGACTAATCGAACATCCAAGTTATCAAATAAACATGTCGGCAATACGTTAATTAGCTGGATCTATTTCTCATGTAAACAATATTGAATTCCTTTAATTAAAAAAAAGTTGGGTTTTCAAAGCTTGATTCCTAGGAAAATACAAGCAAAATTATTTGATGAAATAAAGAGGGAGATCAGATCTATAGTTTCCCAACAGAAGAATAGCACATTACAAGACTACAGATCCAAAATTTAAACGGAACAAACAAACCATGCAGTCATTAACTAATCCTTCGTAACAGGAAACAAGAATTTCACAATCACAATGAGATCCAACCAAAAAGAACAGAGTAAACAAAAACAGATCCACCAATTAACGAGAACCCAAGTAACATAAAAACCAAAAAGAGTTGACAAGGAAACACCAAAACCCATCGGAATGGAAAGAAGTGGAGATCAAATTACCTTTCTGGGTCTTCAGCTATCAGATCAAAGAAAGAAGAAGAAGATGAAAAAGCAAACAGAGAACAGATAGAAAATCTGGGTTACGAGGGAGAACAAGAAAGGGAGGGGAGGAAAATTGGAAAATGGGAAGAGTTCTTCCGGCGAAGAATGAGGAGATCTTAGGCCTGTCCACTGTATATATACTCACCTAAATGCCCTTCAAGATCCAACCACTCAGGTTCTTCCAGCGGCCCATAATCCATATTTTATAACAATTTTCCTACACGTTTTCTTTCCCTTAACCCATCAAAATCGCACACTTAACAACCAGCAATTATACAGCGTATTTTATTGATTAATTATTCAAGACCATTGCTAGTATTTGTTAAACCATTTTCATATCCTTTTTGGGGGTTGAAAACCCAATAATTCACACCACGACAAAACCCAGATCCGGTTAAGTGATTAGTAAATTATTATGTTACAAGTTACATTCGCAAAGTTCAGCTTTGCTCCCACATGGCAATTGCAATGGCAATGGCAATAATTTAACTACCTTTTGAGTCTCTCCCTCATAAATTTTCCAAGGTTAAGCACAGCACTGTTCTTTAGTTTCTTACCAATTTATGCTAATGTAAAGCCTGCATCAAGTTGTGCTTTCTTTTTATTCTGTTAAAGCCAATTATTATTATTATTATTATTATTATTATTATTATTATTATTATTATTATTATCAATACCTTACAGATAATTTTTATTTTCACCGAAATTAGATTGTTAATTTTATTTAAATAAATGATCAAAATATTCTTAAAGTTTATAATTAAAGGGTAAAACTAACAATGTAATCTTTTGTGTGGATAGAAGTTATCTACATTATAATAATCGAAATCATCTAATAGAGTTTACCCTTTTCTTAAAATAGGAAATTTGAATTTTATTTGGTAAAATGAAAGTATTATATGAATTTGGGTTATCAATAATAATAAAAAAAAGCAAACCCATAATTTTTCAAAGTTAATTGAACTTTATATCATAAGTAAAATAATAGATTAATCTTTGATAAAAAAGAAAGTGAAAAGGAATTTTGTATGAAATAATTATAAAAGGTCCGCATGGGTGTAGATTGTTAGAGTGAGATGGAAGACAAAGGAAAACATATACATATATATATGTATATATTAAATGGCAGTTAGAGACTCCTAATGGAAGGAAATGAGGCTGAATTGTTTTATAATTAATGGTTGAGATGTTCCTATATTTATTATTATTAGTATTACTCTAAAAATATGTACAAAAATGTTGGAATATTCTTAGTATTTGGAAGTTATTTTGAAGGCCAGGCGTGTAAGACACTAAAAGTTGATATTGTTTATATTAAAGAAGAGAACGCGACAGAGAAAATTGCCTAGTTTTAAAGTTAGTTCCTATCTTAAGGACCACTTTTCATGCCATTGATGTGATTCAAGCGACCTCCATCTGCAAATTTTGTATCCTATGGTTTAAAGCCTCAAGGGGATGACTTTATTTTTTGTGCACAGTTTTTTTTAATTTTATTCGCGTAAATTTAACATATTTATTATCTATGTAATTTCTACAAATATTGAAAAAGTCAAAACATACGTGAAAATGAGATCGTCTTAATTTATCGTATAATCGATTGATGATGCTAATAATATACGGGCAACTTAATAATTTTGAAGGTTCAATGGAGAGGCTTGAAATGTAGGTTGGCTGGCCTGGAAATTGATTGGGAACCAACCATTAGGGCAGATGCTCCTTGTTCGTAAGTTGGTGCATCATTTTCATCCCAAGAAGATTCTAAATTTTGGTTTAAACTTGTGCATATAATGCCAAAAATGAGCAACTCCATGGTAATTTAGCTTTGAAAGTTGCAGTCAAGAACTTAGGTTACAACTAATTCAAGTGAAAATCCTAACTAAAGTTGGAATAGGATAAGTCTGCAAGGAATGTTTCTCCGGGTTCTAAGAAATACTGCATTGATTCAACATAGGACATTGTAACTCGTTTTCTAAAACTAGGGAACTACATTGATTCAATTTCAACCTGGTGATAATCTAAAAGAAACAAACCAAAAAAATTGTTGCATTGTATGGTAGAACTACCTACAACTCATTGATCAAGGGGCGACAACTATCCGCCCAGCAACTTGAGTCAAGATCTCGCTGGCCGTGGGATGTGATCCTTCTTCCCCTGTAAAAGCAAAAGGTAAAGGTTGATCAGAACCGAACTAAAAACTTTGAGCGGAAATCATCTCAAGCAAGGAAATCCATTTAAACAATTGTATACTAAAGTTGCTCAGTTCTCTTGCTGTGGAAGCCAAACTGCATGTGCTATAGATGCCTGAATCAGTAGATTTCCATCATGCGTCCAAAGTTAGCAAAGCAGCTTATGGTGCTATGGATCCAAGACTAATTACAACGGCTTACTCAAAGTCCTGGCTAATGATGTGAGAGGCAGGGGATTTCATGCTTTTAAATGAATGGATGCATGAACACAACTCACCAAAACCACCATTCTCACAAAAACACAATACAGAGAAATGAAAATACTTTGACAAAAGCAAAAGGTAAACAGCATACTAGACAAGCTAACTTGCCCCTTTGGATCAATGTCAATGACGTTCACATTCTGCAATTGTTGAAGTATGTGGCGGCAATGGCACCACTACTCTTACAAAAATGGGGTGGGAGACTTCCATATCTCTTGCTCCCACCCTATGCTCCTCGCAAAGCACCAACACCAAGACCATGCCTCAGATATATCTTCCTTGCCATAGATGTTGGAATATCCACATTAAAGGTGACGAAAACCACAAGCACAACAAGAGAGAGAAAACAAAGCAAAGGGGCAAAATTGATGTTGGCAAAACAAAGGGGGTGAGACACAAACCATCTCTGACATAGTACCGATCATGGTCATAGGGAGGAAGCTCCTTGAATCTAGCAGTCTTGAGAATATCAGTCCATGGAGGAAGCTCAATCTGTATAAAAATATTAACACATTACAATTGTTTCCAGGTTTTAAACCATGGGCAACAAGCAAAACAGCAATGCAACAAAACCATCATCAATCAAAGTTATTGCACATACAACAAAGTAATAAATACTGGGTATGCTTCCATTTGCAAATTACAGAATTCCCAAAGAAAAGAAACATGTGAGGGGCGCCATCTTCATCAAAAAGGTTAACTTCAATCATAAACAAAACAGTCAATGAGACATTAAAGGGACAAGACAACATGAACATAACATGCCCTTTTAATTTGTACCTAAATTTCCAAAAGACATGTGAGGCAACAACAAGACAGCAAAGTACTAAAGAGGACCACAAACTTAGAAAAGGAAGTTAATGGAACAAAAGACAAAGGAAACAAAAAAAAAAATAAAAACAACCTCACGTCTTTCACTGTTCTGCCAGTGGCAATGCCGTTCAGCGTATGGTTTATGGTTTAAGCTTTGTTTTTCTTTCCATTCTATTTACTTGCACAATTCCTTAAGTTGGGCCGCTTTTAGGTTTGGGTTTCCAATGAAATTGGGTCAACTGGTTCAGTCAACCCAGCCCGGCCCAATATCAAGTTTTCCTTTCCTTCTCTCTTGCAGTCCATAAAATTTTTCTTTTTTTGCCCTTTTTGGAAGATCAATTATTCAACTATTACTGTAAATTTGATCAATTTTTTTATTAATTTTTTTGTCAATTTATAAGTTATTTTATTGATAATACCCTTTTATAGCATTCACTGCATGTGTGAAAAATTGAAGAAAACATGAAAAAAAATATTTTTTAATTTACGTGTAAAAGAGAAGATAGATATTTTATTTTTTAAAAATAATAACAAAGTTTAAACCTATTGAAAATTACTCAATTATTATATTTAAGTTCTAACACGCCTTCTCATGTGTAAGTTAGACATAATCACATGATTAATAAGTTTACTCATGAATAAGTTTAAATTAAAAATAGATGAAAGTATTATCCACCCATTGAACAACTTGAAATAATATTAAAAGAGAAGCGTGATTTTCAAAAATTTAAATTGTAGACTCTGATATTATGTTAATTGAACAATCAATTATTTTAAAAGTTTAAACCGATAAAAAATGGTCCAATTATTTTTCTATTTACAGTACAAAGAAGTTGATTTCCCCCCCGAGTTATTAGTTGCAACAACAGTAAACGGAAATCCGAAAAGATAATCTTTGCATGTGAACAATTCCAAACACAGAATCCCAAACCTTATTAATCAACACAAACTACACTTGCATGGCTTCCACTTTGATAACTTTCATTAATTTTTACTAGCCAATTTTAAGATTCCTCCTCCTAATCATTTACTCACATGCCTGCCTGTATACCTAATACAGAATTCCTACTCTTCCCAAGCATTCAAGCAAAGAAACTAGTAACACAAAGCTGGAGAGGTAACATGGCTGGTGGGGGGTCTGTTCTTGTGATAATGCTCTTGGGTTTGTGCTTGGTCAGTAGGACTGCTAGCTCACAATCAGATCAGGAATGGAATGTAGAACATGCAACTTTTTATGGAGACATGCAAGGGACTGAAACTATGAGTAAGTATTGTAATCCATGGTCATTTCTGAATTTTGATTCTAAGTATTCCTAGTCTAATATTACTAACATCATCCTTTGTATTTGTGGTATGCATGAGGATATAGTGGGTGCTTGTGGCTATGGCAATCTACTAGAACAAGGTTATGGCCTTGAAACAACAGCCTTAAGCACAGCCCTCTTCAATGATGGTCTAACCTGCGGAGCCTGCTATGAAATCCGGTGCTACGACTCCGCACAGTGGTGCCTAAACGAGACCGTCATTGTAACTGCCACAAACTTCTGCCCTCCCAACTACAGCAAACCTGAAGGAAATTGGTGCAATCCACCGAGGCGACACTTTGACCTATCCCAACCAATGTTCTGAAGAATTGCTGTTTGCAGGGCTGGCATTGTTCCCGTCATGTATAAGCGCGTTCCATGCAGGAAATATGGTGGTCTCAAGTTTGAGATTAAGGGAAATCCGAACTGGATACTGGTGCTAGTGTACAATGTGGGGGGAGCTGGTGATGTTCTAAACGTTAAGATCAAGGGTTCAGGCACATCATGGATACAAATGTCACGACATTGGGGCCAGAACTGGCAAACTGCAGCTCAGCTCGTCGGGCAAAGGTTGTCCTTCCAAGTGACTACTGGTGATGGTAAAATGGTGCAATCTGATGATGTTGCACCAGGTGATTGGAAATTTGGTGGCGTTTATGAGGGCAACCAATTCCCAAGTTAAAGGAAACGATGCCTGCTTTTCTTAATTGAATGCACATGAAGCTTGTTAACCTGTGTAATAGCATGAATAACTGTGATGACTCTTGACTTCCAGAGTCAGAAATTGTTCAAAACTCCACCTCTTAATAAATGAAAACTTGGTCCTCTTGAATGATCATGAAGACTATACTAGCCTTCCAACGCACAGATATTCTGATTGAAAAACGTTGATAAACTTACTAGAATTTTATTTTCCCTTAAGAAACAGAATAATTTAGAATTGAAATGTCATCTTTCAGTTTTGTTGCAACACATTCTATGACAACAATTTGTGACTGTGTGTTGGCTTGAAATCGAAAATGTACAGCTGCAAATTTTTTTTTCTCCATTTTAAGCAGACGCTAGGAAGTTCTTGAACCATTGAACAGAGTCCTTGGCATATCTCTTGAGGTTGTCCTTGTAGTCCACAAAATATAGACCGAATCTAGATGTGTACCCGGCTCCCCACTCCCAGTTATCAAGTAGAGACCAGACAAAATACCCTTTAACATTGCAACCATCTTCCCTGCATTAGTCATAAATGATTAAGTTGCTATTTGCACCTCAACATATGATCATTGAATATGTAATATTTGAAAATAGACATCAGTAAGGCATTGTTACGTACTTGATAGCAGCTAGGAGGTTAGTTAAGTAATCATGGTGGTATTTGATTCTCTTCTCATCCTTCAGAGCATCTTTAATGCTGTTAAATATGCTATTTGAGTCATCCATACCTGCAATAACAATATCAATATGAAAGGAAGGAAAATTTTAATCTTCTAGTTAAAGGCAATCCAAGAGTGGAAGTTGCTATAACCTAATAGACTTGGAAGAACTCAACTTCTATGGTACATTAGCATCAGATAAACTTCCCTTTAGATTTAAGAACATTACCATTTTCTGTGATAATGACTGGAGGGTTTCCATACTTCTCCTTGATGTAATTCATTAGGCTTCTCATACCACTGGGTACTATGTATAACCATATAGAATTTGCCTGCAATTTGACATAAGTAAACAAACAGGATAATTTGGTATAAAAATTTTAGTTACATATATGTCATCAGATTTTCTATCTGCAGCCACACGATTAAACTAATGGGAAATGAACCATCAGATTCATTTAACAAGAAGAACATCTGTCAGAATCAGTTGTTCCTAAACAATAAACAAAAATCAGCTTCTGTACCTTGTCTCCTATAGGTTTCCCATTTTTGAAAGCTGCATACATGAAGAACAAAGCAGTACCCTCAATTAGTGGCTAGCATAGCAAGAAAATAGTGGAATCAACTGTAAAGGATGACCTAAATAACTTTTTATCTCCTTTCTTGTAATTTTCTATGCAATATTATAAGGATCATGGTTTACTTACGAACTGTAAAGGCACCAGAGTCTGCTATGGAGTCATTTAGTATAGTACCAAGTGCATTAGTGGCATTTGCTCTTGCATAATATGTAGTGTAATGATTAATGCCAACAAAATCCAAAGACCCCTTAAGAAGAGCGGACTCAGCTTTTGAAAACCTAGGCAATCGGTTTCCTACTCTGCTAATCATTGAGCTTGGATAATCTCCAAAGATCAATGGGTCCAGAAACCTGCAGGCATCCAAGCATTAGATCACCCTAGGAAAAGATAACTGTAAAACCATGACAGGAAAGCTTGATAGGATACCACAAATCAGTTTCAAAAGTGCAACAAAATCAAACCCAAGTTTAAGCTGATTCGTAGCTGTCATTTCTCTTATAGTGTGGATTCTAATTCTAAGTTTAAGGAGGCAAAAATTCATGGTGATTGCAGTTACCAGCCAAGCTGAAAATCTTGAGCTCTTTGAGCGGCTTCAATGTTTTCTGCTGAATTTGTCTCTGGCTCATACCACATAACATCAAACGATACCCCAACCGATCCATGTTGTTTTGCCTGCACAGTGACCAGTTGCTCATAGATGCTTGCTCATTTTATGTACAATGTGAATTGCTCACGATGCCTAAACAAATAATAATCTGCAACTTTCTACCTAGTTTCTTATCAGGTTTGATAAAAATAATCTGATGCGTAGTATCCTAAATTTTACCTTGTACTTTTTCCTGTAAATATCTGCAACAGTTGCATGAGAAAGGAGGACATTGTGCGCAACTATGTAAGGCTCAGTTGCAGAGTTTCCAGCCTTGCAGATAAGGCGAAGAATGATGGAACAGCGTCCTGGTGCTTGGAGACCGACATCATAGCCTTGCACAGTAAATGTATGGGGTTCATTAAATGTAATCCAGTGTTTCACCCTGTCACCAAAAATCTGGAAGCATGTCTCAGCAAACATTGCAAAGTCCTTTCTGCAAATGAACAAAGTGAGAGAATCACTTATTTAGGTAATAATTTGCAATGATCTTTTCCATTCTGAGAATTCTATTTACATAATTTGCGGGTCGAGCCATCCATTGTATCTGTCCTCCAACGCTTGAGGAAGATCCCAGTGGTAAAGGGTCACATATGGTTCAATACCTGCATATGTCACATGCAACATGAGATGCCACTAAAGTCATAAATTAATTTGATCAATTTCTTATAGACTGATGAACAAAATATCGATTTCTTTCTTTTTGACACAGTCATGAATGTCATGCATTACAGTTCATGTTATTTATAGAAATTACATGTCAAATCTAAGCTGAACCAAGTAAAGATAAATCGGAATTAAGGATACCTTTGGCAAATAGAGCATTTATCAAATTATTGTAATGATCAACACCTGCCTGGTTTATTTCTCCTGTACCATCTGTGTTTCAAGGCAAAATGTCAGTAGAAATTTACACATTTCCATCTTCTTACACAAGTAAAATTGGCAAACCAAGAACTGTGTCACAATGTAAAACTTACTAGGGTATATCCGAGACCAAGCTATTGAAAACCTGTAAGCATCCATCCCCATGTCCTTCATGAGTTGTATATCTTCCTGTTTCCAGAAAAACAAAATCACAACGTCATTCATGAATTTAGGAACATGAAAAATCCTTTTGGAAAAGAGTAGGTGATGAGGAAATTGACTGCTGTTAAAAGGGTCGGTTGTGATTTGTGAAAAGACTTAACAGTATAGCGGTGGTATTGGTCCACAGCAACATCAGCATTACTACCATCGATTATCTTCCCTGTAAGATCAAATGGTTAAATTGGCCTGGCAATCTTGTTCTTTCTCATATTCCATTGGCAGATAAATTATAATGCTACAATTTGACATGATTGATTTCTTCCAGGAGAGAATTCGAAGTTCTTAATAAAAATTTCATGTTTGTTTCATAGATACTGCACCCTTTAAGACATGACATGACAAACTCAAAGCAGTATCAAATCTTCAGACATTTGAGATGCGAAATGAGGATCTGTCCAACGACTTTTAACTTGTAGTAATTACTTTTGGACAAGCAAGAGTTTGAGATAAAAAGTTTTATTCAGGCTTAAATAAATAAAAAAATTAAACTGTGGTTATTTTTTAAAATCATTTATCGTATTCATACGAGATATTATATTTTATTTATATTTAAATAATTTTTTAATTTTAATAAAAATTTAATTATCGTTCAATTCAATATCAATTATTATTATGTGTGTATGTGATTAAACCAATTAATGTATGTCTATTAACTTATCAAATCATATGACAAAATAAACATGAAATGACGTAAGAATATAGAATGATGGTTGATATTGAATTTAATAATTAATTAAATAATAAAATTAATTAGTACCAAAAGTATGTGAGAATTTGTCCCAAATAGTTGGCCCCCTTCCATCCTCCTTCACTGCTCCTTCGTACTGCCCAAAAGAAGAACACAGTAAGTTATGACTTTTCATAGCACACCACAAGACTTCATAATATGCTTAAGAATGTGACATGTTTGGGCATTAATCCCCAGCTAGCAAATGATTTGTCCTTTAGTCTCAATTTGTGCCAGAAATTTCTCCTTGCTTGTTATTACAAAGAGGAATCTTAATTTTGAGGCACATTTCCATATTGACTTCTGAAGTGACACATGACTTGTTCAGCTCCACATAGTATACTCTACTTTTCTTCTTTTTCTTTTTTTTTGGGTTCAGACCAGGCCATCCTGAACTGGGATAAATTCTCGCATAAGCGAAGATTCTCATAATTAGAGGGGTTGTTTATGAAATATAACAAAAGCAAGGGGTTGGTTTACAAAATTTTAAAACATCGAATAACCTAGGAGAAAGTAACGGTGAGTCCAATGACTTCCTAGTTCTTCGACGAAGTTCGTGGTCTCCTTCTCTATGTCAGGCCAAGTGAGTGTTAAAAGGACAACCACCTCAAAAAAGTTTTAAATTACTATATTTTATATAAATATTTGCGATGGAATTTTTAAATACTGTAAATAAAATGACGAAATCGATACACCCTTTAATCCTGTTGATAATCATCGATACATAAAATAAAAGAAAAATAAAGAAATTATTTATGTGTTTGATTTTTCAAATAATTTCAGTTATGGATGTCACGTGAAGATTGAAACTTTTCAGTATTTTTGGATGCAGATTTAATGGATATAGATAATAATTTGATAGCTTTATTCACTGGAGGGAAAGCTTGGTGCAATGGAATTACTAAGTTCTTTTTACAGTTTGTGGAATTAAATTAACACCATTGCTAAGCAAGCATCCTAGGCTAAAGGACAAAAAACGAAGAGAGGGAAGAACCAACCTGGAAAGAAGAAGAGGCGGTTCCAAAAACAAAGCCCTTTGGGAAACTGGCCCTGGTAATGTTCTGTGACTGTGACAAGCCTGCCTGGAATGTTCCCAAAACCACCAATACTATACCCAAAGCAATGCCTTTTCTCAGCAGCATGTTTTCACTAATGGAAGAAAGACAGAAAGACAGAAAAGAAAGAGAAACTGATGATGGGGGGGTGATAGATCAGATATAAGGAAGGTTTAGTTGTGAATTAGAATAAGATTGGATTTTGGTTTCTATTTATAAGGAAAGAAAAGTTGACAAAAAGGAAAATAGATAAAGAATAGAGAGGGACTTTACAAACTTTTAGTGAGGTGAATGTAAGAAATATGGGGTTGTAGAAAAAAAGAAAGAAAATGATGGGAGCTAGTAAGATGATGGTGGTGCTGCTGGTGACGGTGGTGGTGGTGGCCTGCAGCAAATTCAAAGCCCTTAGTTCACACGTTTTGTTTACATAACAAGATGGGCTGGTTTGAGGATTGCTTCACTTCCTTCTATTGCTTTTGTTTTGGTTTTGTCTATATATGTATATGGGTGGTTTTCTTTTTGGGCTCTGTTTCTGGTGTTTGTTTTACTTTATCCATCTGCTTGGCCGGCCATGCTTTTTTCCCACAACTGTTAATTTCTTCAGGATAACACTCTGTCACTGTAAATCAATCAAAACATTGCTCTTGAATTTAATCTGTCTGATTATCTTATGTCTTCCCCTTGTTTGACTTGGAATAAATTTGGGGGGTATAGCCAAGCTGGAAATTGGAACAGTACAGGTCCTAGGCAGCGTGTGAGAAAGCAATCTAGGATAAGTATAAAACAAGTTGCCGGTTGAGGTATCATTGACTGTCGGCTCTTTGGTCTGAGTTCAACCTGATAATGATTTTTCATTTTGGTTGGATTCCCTTTGCAAATCTCTGTTCATATAGGGTAAATTCTTTTGGTTTTGCAGTCTTTTTAAGTCACGTCATGCCTTTCTTGAACCATACGACCAAGAACGAAGGGAAGAGTTGTTTTTTGCGTGTGCTGTGATTTGCGTTTTCCGTGGTTTGTTTTCTTCTGTCATGGGATTAGTGGCATGGAACTGATGATTCATATCTCTGTTTGCCAGGTAAAAAGGCCACATTGGGTGGGGGATGGGTGGTGTGAGGATAAGGAGGATAACGCATCCTAAGGTGAACTGATTCCCTTTTCTGGGCCAGAGAAATCTATACCCTAATCATCAAAAATGATTACTCCCATACCCTTTTCTGCAATTTGGTGGCAGGCATTTCCACAGGGCCACTTAAACATGCTTAAAATGTTTATGGTATCCGCTAATCTTAACCAAGAATTCCTTCTCCAAACGGCTACTTTGATATGGAAATAAAGGCAATTGCCTGAAATTATTGCATGATTGTGGAGTTGAAGATAACAGGTCAAGCAGGTCGATTTCGGTTGTGTGGAATAGGAAAATCCCACCTTCTCAGAAACACCATCTAGCTTATGTACTAGTAGTATTGAGTTTTGTCGCATATGGTTTTAGCCTCTTTTTTAAAGGAAAGAAGATTTAAATTCAATTTTTTAAATTAAAAATATATATATTTACTATTAAATCAAATGTTTATATGTGATTCTAAACTCTTTTTATGTTTATAAATTAATTTTAAAGATAATCTATATATGTACAATCACATCCTATTTTCTATCCAAAAATAAGATCTTAAAATATTAGATGAAGAATAAATATTTCATATTAGATCAAACACGCAAAGAAAGAATCTGCCTTGACAATTTTGGCAAGCTTAATAGATTACTCCATAATCAACCAGTAACAGCTAGAAATAGGGTACCTAGGGACTCTTTTCCTTTCCTGTCTTTGAAATTTGTATCACATAGGAAAACTTGTCTTCATTTTTGGACTCACTATGTTTATCATCAAGCATTACTATTAGTAGTAAACTTCATCAAATTTGTGGGTATTTCTTAGATATATAAAAGTAATTATAATCCTGAAAGGTTTAGAATTTGACTTTCCAACATACAAACCAAGAACAAAGATGTCGGATTCCTTCACGTTGCATCTATCGACCGATGCCAGTACATGCAAATTGCCCAAAGCTGTTGGTATTAGTTTAACACATTTGGAAAATCTAGTCACTAATCTCATCTTTGTGTTCCTAATAATTTAACTTCTAAGCAAAGCATGATTAAACTTGGAAGCAATTCAAAACATGACAAGTTTTTCATCAAACATCAATTTTTAAGCCCGAAAACATCCAAAGCAAAAATGGTTCTTAATTAATTAATTAATTAATTATCAAGTTGCAAGGGGTTTGAAGGTTTGGCTTCTTCTGATTTCCTTTCAATGGCAGCTGCTTTTCTTGGTCTAGCAAACACAGGTCTTGTCAGCAACCCTTTTTCAAGCTGTCAAGGAAGGAGAACTTGCATGCATTAAACAGATATCATTCCCATATCATATTTTGATAAGGACCATACAAAGCTACTTGATTTTATTAACCTATTAGTTTTTGTTTTATATACTGACATGACAACAATCTGTTTGTTAGGAATGATACAGTTGAACTTCATTTTCTTCTTCAATTTTTTAAGCAGATGCCAGGAAGTTCTTGAACCATGAAACTGAGTCCTTGGGGTATCTCTTGAGGTTGTCATTGTAGTCCACAAAATACAGACCAAATCTTGAACTGAACCCGGCTATCCATTCCCAGTTATCCAGTAGAGACCATGCAAAATATCCTTTGACATTGCAACCATCTTCCCTGCATTAGCCATAACAAAACCATGATGCCGGAATTTTTTGATAAGTAGATAAATGATCGTATCTCTCCTTGCCAGCTTAATGTGAGTTTTCACATTAAGCTGATTAGATCTTGATCCTGTGTAATAAATCTTAATTGTGATTGTAATATGTAATTTTGATGAAAAAATCAAAGATTTGAGTGAGTGAATTATGATTCTGTATTAATATTAAATGTGAATATAATTGTTAAAATCCATGTAAGGGCTTAAGTCAATTATTACTAATAATTCAAATTTAAACTTTTGAGTGTCACATGGTTTATTGGGTCAATGATATTTGGACCTTGGTCATTAAGTATTTATACTTCAAGAAATTATCATAGAATTTGTAACTAAAATCAAAGATAGATGTATGTAATTAAGGGCATCCTTACGTACTCAATAGCAGCTAGCAGGTTAGTTAAATAATCAGTATGGTATTTGATTCTTTTCTCATCCTTCAGAGCATCTTCAATGGGGATAAGTGAGCTATTTGGGTCATCCATACCTGTGATAACAGCACAAGAAGAAGGAAAACTTAGCTAATCTAGTTAAAGGAATAGACATGGAGGAACTCATATTCTATGGTACATATAACACGCTACAAACTCCCCTTTTGCTCTTAAGACATTACCATTTTCTGTGATAATGACTAGAGGGTTTCCATACTTCTCCTTGATGTATGTCATTAGGCTTCTCATGCCGCGGGGTACTATGTATAACCATATAGAATTTGCCTGCAATTTGATGCAACTAAAGAAAACTTGAACAACAAGAACAATGCCTTCACGAGAATGGCAACAGATTTACCATCTGTTATCACATTGTAATATTAATGGGAAATCAAACCATTAGATTAAGTTAACAAGTAAGAAGAATGTCTTATCAGAATCAGTTGTTCTTCAACAACAGACAAAAGTTCGACTTACATACCTTATCTCCTATAGGCTTCCCATCTTTGAAAGCTGCATGCATTAAGAACAAAGCAGTATCTTCAGTTAGCTGCTAGCATAGCAATAGAATACTGACAATCAATTCTAAAGAATGAATATGTCTGCATCTCCATTCTTGTAAGAATTTATACCATACAACGCAGATCAGGACACAAGATTAAGAAAGGATTTATGTAGAAGGAAAGACAGTTTACTTACGTATTGTATAGGCATCAGCGTCTGTCACAGAGTCGTTAAGTAAATCATCTAGCGAATTAGTTGCGTTTTCCCTTGCATAATATGTAGTGTAATGATTGATGCCAATAAAATCAAATGACCCCTTAAGAAGAGCTGACTCAGATTTAGTAAAATTGGGAAGTCGGCTTCCTACTCTGCTTCTCATTGAGCTTGGATAATCTCCGAAGATCAATGGGTCAAGAAACCTACAGAAATTATAGTGTAACATCACCCCTTGTAAAAGATCAGAATTTGCAGGCCTCACTCTCAGAAGTATAACAAAATGAAGCCAAAGTTTTAACTAAATAAGAGCAGTCAGTTCTCTTATTAAATATTCAGCAGAATCTAATCCTAATCTAATATGGTCACCGGATGAAGATGATTGCGGTTACCAGCCAAGCTGAAAATCTTGGGCCCTTTCAGCTGCTTCAATGTTTTCTGTAGCATTCGTCTCTGGTTCATACCACTTAACATCCAATGATATCCCAACTGATCCATTTTGTTTATCCTGCACAGAGACAATTGATCTTAGATGGTAGCTCTTTTTGTAGATAAGGTGAATTACTGATGTTGTCTGCATAGACATGCTCCAAAGTGAAGCGAGCAGCTGTTTCATCTGTTCTGAGTATCTTTCAAATTGAAATTTAATCAACTATTTACCTAGTATATTATTCTAATTAGACAAAACTAATCTGAACGTATCCCGAGTTTTACCTTGTAATTTTTCCTGTAAATGTCTGCAGCAGTTGCATGAGAAAGGAGAACGTTGTCGGCAACTATGTAAGGCTCGGTTGAAGAGTTTCCAACCTTGCACAAGATAGATGAGCAGCGCCCCGGTGCTTGAAGTCCTACATAATAGCCTTGTATGGTAAATGTATGAGGTTCATTAAATGTGATCCAATGCTTCACCCTGTCACCAAATTTCTCAAAGCATATCTCGGCATACGTAGCAAAGTCCTTTCTGCAAGTGACCAAAGTCGTGTCTATTACTCGTAAATATAGAAGACCAGAGTGCATAGATAATTTTTGACAATCATTTTCAAGTGTACGAATGTTCTTTACATAATTTGTGGATCAAGCCATCCAATGTACTTGTCCTCCAATGCTTGAGGAAGATCCCAATGGTAAAGGGTCACGTATGGTTCAATTCCTGCATCACAACACCCAATTGAAAAGGCTTCTTCATATAAAGTTATATAGCTAAACAGTTAAGTATGCACTCCTGATCCAAGTCATAAATTTGATTATTTTCATTGACTGATGATCATGTATCAGGTTTTCATTTTCAGAGGAAGGCTTGGGGGGCTGTTCATGGTATATCAGTAATATGATGATGCCTATATAGTATGAACCAGCATAAACAATACCTTGAGCAAGTAGAGCATTGATAAGATTATTGTAATGATCAACACCTGCCTGATTTATTTCTCCCATGCCATCTGTTCCAAGGAAAATTGTTAGAATTTTCACATTTTATCACTTACATAATAGGGCTTGACCACAAGTAAATTTGACAAACCACTTTGTCAAACTTACTAGCTGATGATGAATAACAGTGAGCAAATTAAACTTACTAGGGAATATCCGAGACCAAGCTATTGAAAACCTATAAGCATCCATCCCCATGTCCTTCATAAGTTGTACATCTTCCTATTTCCAGAAAACAAAAATCACATGTGATTCAAATTTTAGGAAGACGAAAAATTATTGGAAAAGAGTATTTGATGAGCAAATTGCATGCTGGTCACTTCAATGGCCGAACAATACAAAATCATCCATCTGGTAGACTTACAACATAGCGATGGTACTGATCCACAGCAACATCAGCATTACTGCCATCAATTATTATCCCTGTAAGACAATATAAGTCAAGCTGTTAATTGCCCTGGCAATCTTGTTCTTTCACATACTTCATTGGCAGATACATCAGATTGTGACAATCTGACTTGATTGGTAATTTGTTCTTAGTTTCTAGTTGTCTCAAGTTGTCTTAACAACTCAAGATCCTTCAAGAAATTACAGGTTTTACTTGATATACTGCAATTTTTTGGAGTCATGACATGATAAACTCAAAGCCGTATCAAATCTCCAATATGTGAGATGTGGAATATTGATATATTGCCACTGGAACTGATCAATTGTGTTTTTGTAGGGTTAGAACATGCAAAAGAGACATTAATTGGCAAACCCCTTTATTAAAACAGTAAGTTAAGGGGCAAAGTGCAAAAGAAAATTGTTTATTATTCTGGAGCATTGAATGATTCCATTTGGTGGAAAAGAGAAAAGGGAATCAGATTAAATTCAGAAACCTTACTTCTTCCAACAAGTCAGATAAGACCAGTCTATTTATTTAGGTTTGTTCTTTGATCATTTCACTGGTGGAACATATGACAGTGAGAGCAGGTACATGCAAAGTTTCACTAAGTATGCAAACATTAAATCACATGCTAATATCCAGTTATTATGTAATTATGAATTGTAATCAAATGATAAAGGTATTACCTGAGTGTGAAAAAATGTCCCAAATAGTTGGTCCCCTTCCATCCTCCTTCACTGCTCCCTCATACTGGAAAACCAAAGAACATACACATTTCAAGCAGTAGGTTAAGCAAGTCAAGTTCTCAATATGCATGAGAATCTGCCATGATTGGGCATTAATTTCAACAGCAAACAATTTGTAGTTGATGAGAGTATACTGAACTTGGTCTGAAATTCTTCTTGTTGATTTTGTCATTTCCATAAAAAGAAATAAATTGCAAAGATTCATTACTGTGAAGACTGAAGCATGCAGTGTGCAAGTAGGGATGGATATATAGTCCCATACTAGGAAGAACAATAGTTGAGGCATAGCTCTTCTTTTGCAGATTCCAGGGAAAGCTTAGTCCAATGGGTTTATTTAATTTTTCTTGAAAAAGGGTAATAAAAAGGACCAACCTGGAATGCAGAAGAGGCAGTCCCAAAAACAAAGCCCTTTGGAAAACTGGCTCTGTTAATCTCTGACAAGCCTGCCTGAATTCCAAGAACCACCAATGCTATAGCCAAAGCAAGGCCTTCTCTCATATGCATGTTTAAATACAAAACTTTACATTCAGCTGGAGGGATTATTGCTTTAATTTCCTCTCCTTAGCTTCTTATATCTTGGTTTTTCTTGTTCTGTGGATGTTTGTTTCTGGCTGTTTTGATGTTTTGTTTTACCTGTTCTCGCCGACCAATGCCAATTCCTCGTTATACCAGGGCCAATATAGCTCCAAAAACCAGCAACAAGCTAGCAAATGGGCTAGGGATTCCCTCCCTTCCCCTGTCTTTGAACTGTGAATACAAAGAATGGGTTTGACTTCATTTTTAGACACACCCTATCTTTTGTCACCCTGATGATTATTACAAAGGTTTGTGGATATCTACTTATTTGATACAAAAGTATTTATAACCATAACCACGTAAACCAAGAAGTAATCTTCTTTCACGTTCTGGCTGCTACTTTTGTTCCTCGTACATGCAGATATTGCTAAAAATAGAAATGAAACCCTACTGCCTCAGGAAACCTAGTCGGTAACCAGATGTTTTGTTTCTAATTATCTTCCCAAGTTGAAAGCTTTGCTTATACTTGAAACCTAATGGAACACAGTTTAGTAACAATGTCAAGTAATTATTGAAGGATAGAGAGAGCTATAAGCATTACGACGTGGTTCCCTACAGATAGGATAAGTTTGTTCGTCTCCATAATAAAAGATTTTGAATTAAAATATAAATATGATTAATTTTGAATATTAGTATACTTTTTACTTGATCAGATTTTTCATAAAATAACAAAATTCATAAAAAAATCAATTATTGTATATGAGATCCAATCATTAATTCTAAATTTTCAAACTATATTAAAATGTACAGACAATAAAACAATTATATATATAGTTTTTAAAGATAAGAGTATAATTAGAAGTGTTCTTTAGGCCTTAATTTCAATGACATATATACACACACACACGTAAATGATTTGATAATTGAATTCAGTTTTAGAGTTATTAGAAATTGAAATAAAATTAACAAGAAGCTTAGAACTAGTACATTACGTTTGTCGTATATCACACTTTCAAATCAATGAACATATTTATTAGACGAGAAAAGCTTTTATTTATAAACTCAAAATTTATTAACATGGATCTATGATATTTTTCTTTAATATCCTCGTTACACTAATTCATTTTACTTAAAAAAAATAGAGATCCATTTTGATCCAGACTTATTTCAATTATGATATCTTTTATGAAAGGTTGCACATTAATAAAAAAATTAAATAATTTTTTATATCACTTATCATATAACTATACTTAAAACCCAAAACATCAATTATGGGTTCCACATTTGACACCCAATATAACCTGTAAGATTAAGAGAAGGATTGAAAGCTTGATCTTACCCAAATCAAAGGGTCCAAAATACAACACAAGTATTGCTCATGAATTTAGATTTGATTTTATAAGAATTATCACAAGATATTGACGTAACTTGAATATATTTATAAAATCTTAAATTATAATAAATTAATAATACACAAAATATTTTAATGTAGGTAAATCTAGACAAACAAATAAAAACTCTTAACAGAATAATTTGTAACACATGCAATACACAATGTGGCCATAGGAAAATATTTTCCAAAAAAAGAAATAGAAAAAATTAAACGAACAATATTGAAATAAAAATTTGCATAGACTGACCAACCAACATGTAAGAAAATTATAAAATTAAAAAGAAATAAATAAAATTAATTATTTAGAATATTTTTCAAATTCAATTCATTAAATAAATAATATGTGTCAATTATTTATATTAAAAAAATGTACAATTATTTTAAATATTTTAATTGAATAAATCTAATTATTCCTTAAACCCCCACCTACTTCGACGCAGAAAAGGAAAGAAAAACAAAAAAGGCTCGACTGAGAAAATGGCTGACAACGAAGAAGAGCCACCTCTTGCTATTCAAATTGACCATGCTGTCCAAGAACCTTCTCAATCCAATCCAGAGCAACCTCAGGACGACAACGTTTCAGTTGGGGTGACTGTCATCACAGGCTACCTCGGTGCCGGCAAATCCACTGTAATAAAACCAACACCATCAAAAGATTTTCTCCTTTTTTTTTTCTAGCTGATCATAGCTTACAGCTTTGCTTTTTGGGGTTTGGTTTCAGCTTGTTAATTATATATTGAATGCCCAACATGGAAAAAGGATTGCTGTGATTTTGAATGAGTTTGGTGAAGAGATTGGAGTTGAAAGGGCTATGATAAATGAAGGAGAAAGTGGTGCCCTTGTTGAAGAATGGGTTGAACTGGCGAATGGGTGTGTTTGTTGCACTGTAAAACATAGTTTGGTTCAAGCCCTGGAACAACTTGTTCAAATGAAGAAAAGGTGAGACTGCCCATTTCGAGTTCTTTTTTTCTTTTTAAACAAAATTTGATTAGTAAAACTATTGGGGCAATTTTTTGATGTGATGACCTGCGAATGTTTTCTGTTAATAGACTTGATCATATATTGTTAGAGACGACAGGGTTAGCAAATCCTGCTCCTCTGGCATCAGTTCTTTGGTTGGATGATCAACTGGAATCTTCAGTCAAGCTTGATTCTATAGTTACTGTAAGTATATTTATTGTGATTGAATAAATTTAATGGATTGAATTGAATTGGTTTGGATTGGATTGTCTGTGTAGCATTTAGACTCCTTGTTGTCTTTTTCTTTGTGTGGTTTTAGTGTTCAAATTGCTCTGGTCATTCTCATTGATCAATCACTTATTTATATGGTATTATGGCAAAATTAAAGTAATTTGCTGAACTCAGATTTCGTTGAGAATGACATGGATTATAGCATACAGGATTTCCTTCATGTTGTTAGTTGACATCAGTGTCGCTGTATAAGCATCTCCTATTGTTGCTGTAACTGTTCTTTCATTCATTGTTTGGAGCTGTATAGTGGGATTAATGGGTGTATAGTACACTATTATAACTTCAAAGAAACCGAGTAGTATCTGTGGCATAGTAGTTTGAGGCATTTGTCCTTATGAAAATTTCAATTCTTGTTATCTATGTATGGCAGTCTTTTTGCCATATTTAGTTTAGATGTTGTGAAGCTTGTGTTATTGAGTCCTGGAGTAACATGTGCTATGACTCAAAACGGCCAACATATTTCTTCAATGCCTTTCTTTTTTGCTACTTGAATAGGTTGTAGATGCCAAAAACCTGCATTTTCAGCTCAACAGGCGTCGTGACTCTTCTTCATTTCCTGAAGCATTTCTTCAAATAGCATTTGCGGTAATTCTGATCTCGTCTTATATACTACATCCAATAGACAAAACCTTTGCAGCCTTTTACAATTGGCTAGACCACTGTTTAATTTTTTATTTGATATTTGCTGGGTTACTTACCAAGAAAAAAAAGATTTTTTATGGGTTCAGCAATTATATCTGCTAATAGTTTTTTTTTTTCCTCTTGTAGGATGTTGTAATTCTTAACAAGGTTGATTTGGTTTCTCCAGAGGGTTCTGAAGGTGCTGTAGAGGAGCTGGAGAATGAGATACATAGCATAAACTCCCTTGCTAATGTCATTCATTCTGTTCGGTGTCAAGTAGACTTGTCTCTGGTACTGAACCGGCAAGCATATGATGCTAAGGTTAGTCCTACAAAAATTAGTCATCATAGTATACATCTTCATGGAGCATGCAATCCTCTATTTTAACTGATATTACTCTTTTTGATTCCTCCTTGGCTTTTAGCACGCCACACATTTAGAAGCACTCTTAGAAGAAAGCAAATCTATACCTTCCAGAGATCTTCATGATAGTGGTGTGCGGACATTATGCATTAATCAGACAGAAGCTATTGATCTTCATAAGGTAGTTCCTTGACGCAGTTTACGGGATTCATTCTCTACCAAGTTGATGTAATCTGCTCCTACCTACTCAACTTTCACAGTTCCTGGGACTTATATTACATTTGTCACAATGAAACTGCAATAGACTGATGGCCTGCATGAACCATGTTGCCTGCTTACGGGCATGATGCTTTTTATGTTAGGCAGACGGCTGAGCGAAGCCTATAGCTGAATTCATTTATAATTTTCTTTTAATAATTTTACTGCTTTTAGGTGGAGTCCGTATCTTGATGTGAGCCACACCATACTTATTTGCTTAAATTTCCAAATGACTTAATCATTTGAAATAATGTTTCACATTGTATGGGCTTGCTTAAGTGCATCAATCTAAGGTTACTCAACAATCCATGTTGCTCATGCAGCTTTTCTTTCTGTTTTTTTATTTTTTTTTTCTCATGAAGAATATATCTTCATGCATTTAGTTGTTTTACTGAATCATTCTGTTTCTCCTATGTAAGTTACACTTATATTGTTTCATACTTCCTGATATTCTCTTTTAGGTCCGTTTATGGATTGAGGAGATTCTTTGGGATAAGAAGTATGGAATGGATGTATATCGCTGCAAAGGGGTTTTACGTATTCAAAACTCTGATCATCTACATACTCTGCAGGTATTGTCCAATGTTACATGCCATTGATTGCTTCATCATGGGTAGTTACTTTTGCTGCTGTCAATTTCTTTTACTGAACATTAGTTATTGAACATTGACAGGCTGTAAGGGAGATATACGAGATTGTTCCAGCTCGCCAATGGAGAAAGGAGGATAAGCAGATGAACAGGATAGTGTTTATCGGTAATATACTCTAACAATACTGAATTCCTCCAGGTGAACTTTGTTTTCTCAAAAAGCTTACTTATTTTACTAAATTCTTAATTGGCTTTGCAGGTCATAATCTGGATGAAAATATTCTCGCTGATTCCTTTGGAGGTTGCATATGACAACTTAATCCGAGCAACACTGACACTCCCGTGAATTCTTCTCAATAGAATCAGAATATTGAAGCTACTGTTTAAACCCCTAGTGCTCATGTGAAGTAACAGGCTTGTTAGCTGGAAATACATGAAGCCAAGCTCCTTTATTGTCATCTGCATATGAATCAAGTCCTACACTTTTTTTTTTCTCTTATTGGTTAATGTTCTTCACCAATGAAGTTCACAACTTTCGAGATTTACTATAACTTTAATTGCAAAACCTTGATACTTAATCTCTGCATTTATGTGTTAGGATGTACATGCATATTTAGAAGTCACTGCATTTTACCGGGTCGATAAAAACACTTATTTCTTACTTATTTTACCTTAAATTAATTTGTGAATCTTGTCACTCGCGTTAGATTACTGTCACTTTTGCCCAAGGTGATGATGTAACTTTTCAACTTATTTCGGATTATCTTCACTACTCTTCATGCATAAAGTAATTTTTCCTATAAGATAACTTTATAAAGAACAGAGAAAGGAATGAAGCAACAACCCCTTTAAAGCAAAATGAAAACGTCAGCTTTTGGGCTTGTGCGTCATTTTCCTACACTAGACCGATTGTTTCGCACGACGTCGTTTTTAACGACTTCTTTCTATCCTAGTTCCAAAAGCTTTTTCGCTAGCTTAACAAATTTCTCCCAAGTCGACTCTCTCCTCCCTCCTTCCCTCACTGGCTGCTATTGAAATCTGAGCAAAGGTAATTTCTCTTATCTCTTAGTTAGGGCTTTTTAGGTTTCATAATCACTTTGAGAACTTTTTTTTCTTTTTCTTTCATTTTCCCTGTTTTTCTCACCATTGGGCTGTTATAAGACTACTTTTTTTAATCTGGAATTACTACTTTTGTAAGTTATTTCTGGGTATTTTGATATATCTACTTTGCTTCTGGGCTGTTATAGTTTCGTTTTTCTTATCCTTTTACCTACATAGGTTAGAGACCCATTACTATTTCGACAGTGATTTTCTTAATTCTATGAAGGCTGGCTGATTTTGAATGAACAAAAGAATCATCTTTTAATCTGAAAACTTTGAAGAAAAGTTACGGTTTTAGGAAATCGTCATGAACAATCGAGGCAAAGGATCTTGATTTGAACCGTTTTACTTGATTTCTGAACAGTTAATTTTCGAGGAGCAGCAGCTAAGTGACTGGTGGTCCGAGTCTAATTTTTCTGCTGAAAGAAAAAAATGGCGTTGGTGGTAATTTGCGGGCAACCTTGCAGTGGGAAGTCTACAGCTGCGAAATGTCTATCTGAAGCTCTGAATGATTCAGAATGTAAACAGACAGTAAGGATCATTGATGAAACTTTGTTTCATCTTGATCGCAATCAGAGCTATGCTAATATGCCTGCCGAGAAGAATTTACGGGGAGTGCTCAGGTCTGAAGTTGATAGATCTGTCTCCAGAGATAATATTATTATAGTTGATTCCTTGAACAGTATCAAGGGTTATAGGTACGAGTTATGGTGTTTGGCCCGTGCTGCGGGAATAAGGTACTGTGTGTTATATTGTGATGCTGAAGAAGCACAGTGTAGGAAATGGAATGAAGAGCGTAGGGAGAAGGGAGAGGCTGCGTATAATGATGCGATATTCGAAGATTTAGTTAGAAGGTTTGAGAAACCAGATAGAAGAAATCGCTGGGATTCGCCTTTGTATGAGTTGTGGCCTCATAATGATGGAGTAGAGAAATCTTCCCATGCCATTGCGGACGCGGTTTCTTATTTGACAAAAAAAGTGGACTCGAAATCACGCGATGTTAAGATTTTGCAGCCGACCATTGCTACACAAAACATGCGGTTTTCCGAGGCAAATTCTTTGTACGAGTTGGACAGAGCCACACAGGAGGTGATTAATGCTATTGTGGAAGCACAATCCCAGGCAACCGGGGGACCTCTTGGTGGTATTTGTATTGGCCAAGGTTTACCAAGCATCGATATGTCCAGATCAGTCGGGCTGCCAGAGCTACGTAGGCTACGACGTACATTCATCAAGTTAACAGGACAAACAAGTTTGAGTGGGCGACCTCCACCTTCCGATGCGGACAGTGCAAAAAGGATGTTTGTAGACTATCTGAATAGGGAATTAGGAACTTCTGCTTGAAAGAGGGTAAGTACACTACTTTTATACCTTGATTATTGTTGTTAAAGGTTTTACTAATTTACATTCTACTGTTATTTTCTCTAAAAAACCATTTTAGATTGTCTCAGAATTATTTTAGACTTGGCATTGAGAGTCATGAAGAGAGTGATTTACTTTTAGAGGATCTGTTAATGTGTTTGATCTTTGATGTCAACTGTATCAAAAAAGAATGATTAGGTGTCTAATTAGTGAGCACATGCACTCTTGAACATCCGTGTTATTTGCATCTATAATTGAAGAGTTGTTCTACTTTTACAGTTCAGAATTTTCTGAACGAGTTGCAGAGTTTGTTGGTATTATAGATCAAGTTCTCTGCCATTACCCCAAGTTGCTGAACAAGTACCAAGTGTTGCAGTAATGAACTGATGCTCCTCCCCATGGTAGGTTGGAGGAAAAGCTTTTGCCCCCTCACCTGGCTGTGGGCTCCAAAGTCCATTGAAATGATCAAAGTGTCCCAGAGCTCGCTCTGTCAAAAAAAAAAAAAGTCTCCCACTTCTTCTACTGACAGTTTGGGCATAAAGGATTTAGCCTTATTTTTTGGAACAGTAAACTTTTACCTGGGATCATTGGAAACCCGGCCCCTGGAAACTGAGATGTCCCTTGACTTCCCACACGCTAGTTTGGTGGAAGAACAGGACACCTTGAGTGACCCTATATGATATTTCCGCTTGAGGTTGGCCTGTGGGCTAAACCCCTGCCCCTAGGTGAGGGGAATTTAACTTTTTCATGGGGCATGGCAGTGGGTCACAGCTCATGTTCTGCTACAGCCTCCCTGGAGGCTAAGAGAGCTGAACCATCCAACTCAATCAACCCCTCTTTTTTTACCCTTTTGACGAAATTACAGTAAAAATTACTCTTACAATCAAACAAACTTTATACATGACATAATTGTTGCATTCAAGAACAAGAAATCAACCAAATCCTGTATAGTACAAGAGTTGGCTAAAATCTAACTTAAAGTTTGACCATTTTTATTAATTGTGCAACTTATTTAATGAGAAGCTCTTTACCAAATAGTTGGAAGAAAAATACCAAAGTACAAGACATTAAAATCTTATCGAATAAGAGGAAATAGAGTAATTTTAGGAAGAACGGCACATTGATAAATACATGCACTTACACACATATATTGTATGTACAAAAAAATACAATTTATTATAAATAATCAATCTTAAAAGATAAAGATCGACCTATCTTGTAATTTTAGAATTCAAATCCGATATTTTTTTGTTAATAGATAAAGATTATCGGGATAATCTTATTTGTATTTAATAATGTCATTATTTCTATCTCATTGTATATAAATATCAAAATATTTAGCAAATGTATATGTAATTAATGTATAAAACTAGACCAAAACCTCATTAATAAAGGTATGACAGTTTTAATTATGGGCTGGATTAAATTAATTCCCTGATTAATTTAATTGCTTGAAGATTAAAATAATTGGAGACAAGAGGAGAACCGAGGCAGTAGCCTCCATTTGGCGCTCAATTAAAAGAAGTGAAAAAGTTAATTCCCATTATTTTGACGGCTAAAATCAGAATCGTTAATTCCACCAGGCCCCACAGATAAAGATCAGGAAGCGGCCAATCAACGAGTGCGTCATCAGCCAGCTGTTATTCCAGCTCTTTTCACCAGCGGTAGCGTATTTCATTAACCAAACACGATCTTATTATTATTATTTTTATTACCAGAAAAATAAAAGGGTTGCAAAGCACTCAATTATTCCTGAACTTTTGCTTTGCTTAATTAAATGAATTTAATTAAAATAACTTTTTTTTTCAATAATAAATGATTTCTGTTCCCTGTTTGTCTGTCTAAAAGTGAGAGCCTTTAGATCTGATTATATTAACCATAAAATTACACTTTCTTTTTCTTTGTTTCTTTCTCTCTCTCTCTCTGTGTCTCATTAGCTCTGTCGCTCTCTCCATTTGTCAATTCTGAAGTTGAATCGCCACCGGTATACGCTACGCTCCACACGTAAACCCTCATTGCTTCTGTTTTTTTTTTCAAATGGTTTACGCATTTTGATTTTCTTGCGTTTCTTTTTTTTCGGTTCCAATGATCTTGATCTGTTATTGTTTCCTTTCTGAGATCTGACTTTCCTTTTCCCGGATTCTAAATACGGAAAGTGATGCATTTTATTCCAAGAATAGTAATTCTGAATTTGGAGTGTAGTGAATTTTCCGTTTTAAGCTTTGATAACTGTTTGTTAGATTCGAAAATCATTTCATCAACCGAACAGACCGTTAAAGAATTATAAACTTTTTCCTTCTTTTGAATGTTAATCTTTTTGTGGATCATTTGCAGCTTGATGCGATTGGTCACTTGCTGGAGACTGAGGAGTCGGCATTACTCAAAATTGAGTTCCGATCGGCTCTGTTTGGATTCTGGTAAATTACCACGTAAAATTTCCATATGGTTTGGATTAGGAGTTGGTAATTCGGTTTTAGGCCCTTTGATTCAGGTGGAATAATTGATCCGTAATAAGGAATTAAAATTCAGCTTGATTTTTGTGATTTTCCTTGATACTGCTTATGGTGGATTTACAGTGAACCTGGATTTTGTTCTATTTTTCTTTCTGTTGCTTGTGATGGTTGGTGAAAGATCGGCGAGCAGAGAAGTGTAGAGGAGGTGGTTTCAATGCTTGTTGGACTTATCCGGATTCATGGTAACATATACAGAAGCTTATATGTAATGATAGGTTATGGTTTTCACGGTTCTTGGAGATTTAAGCTAAAGGGATTGGTTATTTAGTGGTTTTACAAACCTCGATTGTTTAAAGCTTTGGACATGAGAAGCCCCTGGCTCAATAAACTATCCCTCATTTTCGGTCCAAGACCACCGGTCAGTTGGTTGTTATTGTGCTTTGTTAGTGTGCTTGCGCTGATTGCAGTCTTTGGATCGTCATCATCTAATACCTTTGACTCTGTAACTTCCACTCCTGTACCTGAGATTTATACAAACTATAGAAGGTTAAAGGAGCAGGCGGCAGTCGATTATTTTGAGCTGAGAACTCTCTCGCTGGGAGCTAGTCGCCAAAGGGAGCTTGATCTTTGTGCCAAAGAAAGAGAAAATTATGTTCCTTGTTATAATGTGACGGCAAATTTGTTAGTAGGGTTTAAAGATGGAGAGGAGTTTGATCGACATTGTGAAGCATCAAGGCAAGGAAAGCGGTGTTTAGTTCGCCCTCCTAAGGATTATAAGATTCCACTCCGGTGGCCAGCTGGTAGGGATGTGATATGGAGTGGAAATGTGAAGATAACCAAAGATCAATTCCTTTCCTCTGGAAGTATGACAAAGAGGTATGCAGTAAATATTTGAATGCTTTGTTAAAGTAGAGAAAGTATCAGGCTTATCTCCTTTTCCCACAAACTTTGCCTTTTAGAATTCATTAGGGTTTGTTCTTTGTAGCAGCTTGTATTTTTTTTTCTTTAATCATTCTGTAACCGGTAACAGCTTTCTAATATACCTTTATAATCTTTTAACAAATTGTCTAGATTGATGTTGCTTGAAGAGAATCAAATTGCTTTTCACTCTGAGGATGGCTTAATTTTTGATGGTGTTAAAGATTATTCTCGTCAGATTGCGGAGATGATGGGACTGGGAAGTGACTCTGAATTTTTTCAAGCCGGTGTAAGTCTTTATTTCATTTTATATAACGTTCTTACTCTTTTCAGTCCTTTGGCGTACCATGAGCTTTGAGAGTTTTGTATTTCTTGAATCAAATATTTGCTAATATTTTAGTGTGGTCGTGTTAACAAGTATGAGAAAGATATTATATGGTCTTCAAAGGGAAGTAAATCTATCCGTATTTAATACTCCTATCTTTGATTACAGGTCCGCACTGTACTTGATATTGGTTGCGGATTTGGAAGTTTCGGGGCTCATTTAGTTTCACTAAAATTAATGGCTCTTTGTATTGCTGCATATGAGGTAACTGGAAGCCAAGTTCAATTAGCTCTTGAGAGAGGTCTTCCAGCAATGATTGGCAATTTCATATCAAGACAACTTCCACATCCATCATTGTCATTTGACATGGTTCATTGTGCTCAGTGTGGGATTGTTTGGGACAGGAAAGGTACTTTCAGAGTTTTAATAGTAGGATTACTTTCTGTTATTTATCGGTACTCTTTGTTTTGACTGCTACAAAGTTATTTGGGGAGATCTAGCTTTAGTACTACTCTATTACGTCTACTTTTTATTGATAATCTCTATGCCATGTTTCATCATAGAGTTGTTTAGTCGAGAGATGTAGTGCTTTGCACCAATGCACTATGTTTACAGCAATAATTCCTGGATAATTTTTACCCTGAAGAGATTTACAAACTGCTAGCCATGAAAGGTATATCAGTGCTGTAATTTCCTCTTTAAAACCCTTTGATGAAAAAGACTATATTAAAAAAAAAAAAAAGTTTAATGCATGTAGCCTGAATCGTCCAATGTGTTACTGTTAGATGTATGTATGATCTTAATCCATGCTCACACCTATATTTAGTAAATTTAAGTAGCAAGTTTAGCTGGCGTAAAGTTACCCATGCTTTGCATTCTAACTATTATTTTGTAAAACAGAGGGGATGTTTCTAATAGAAGTCGATCGCTTACTCAAGCCTGGAGGTTATTTTATTTTAACCTCGCCCACAAGTAAGCCACAGGGAAGTGCAACAGGTATGAAGAAAAGAAACATGTTAACACCATTGGAACAATTTACTGAAAAAATTTGTTGGAGTCTTATTGCTCAGCAAGATGAGACTTTCATCTGGCAGAAAACTGCCGATGCTCATTGCTATACTTCTCGGTGAGTATACGCTGATAATTTTCACTCTTCTCTGAGTTACTCATAATTCAATTGCATAATTGAACAGGCTTTCGATTCAGTAAAATGATATTTTGGTTATATTTTCCTTTTACTTTGAATTAGTTGTATACTTTTTTTCTTGCTCTTAACTTATCGGACCTGCACTGACGTTTCTCTTTCTTTTTCTTGAATATAGCAAGCAGAATGATGTACCCCTTTGCAAAGAAGGACATGATGCTCCCTATTATCAGGCCCTGATGCCATGTATTATTGGAGCTTCCAGCAAACGCTGGATTGCCATTCAGAACAGGTCCTCTAGCTCACATTTGAGCTCTGCAGAGCTTGAAGTTCATGGAACGTATTTTTCCAACCCCAAATTTCTTTTCTCCCTGCACCTGCCTTTACATATTGCTGTTGTGTAGCAATATTCCATCCACAGTTTATGTATTAGACGGCTTTATTTTGCTTTTATATTGATATAAATTCATCCTTACAGGTGTCAGTCAAGAAGATTTCTTTGATGACTTGCAAGTTTGGAAATCAGCTTTAAAAAACTATTGGTCTTTGCTTACACCCTTAATTTTTTCTGACCATCCCAAGAGGCCAGGTGATGAAGACCCATTGCCTCCATTTAATATGGTACGCAATGTGATGGACATGAATGCTCATTATGGGGGTTTGAATGCTGCATTCCTGGAGGAAGAGAAATCAGTGTGGGTGATGAATGTTGTGCCTGTTAGTGCACGCAATACACTTCCTCTCATTCTTGACCAAGGTTTTCCTGGTGTTTTGCACGACTGGTTAGTTTTTTTTTTTTTAAACACCATTAAAGTAATTTGTTTAAGTAGTTATATGCTGTTTTGGAGTTCAATTTTTGACATTATTATTTTAGGTATAAATCTTCACAAGTTTTTAGAAGTAAAGACATGGTTAACTGTAATAGACTGCTAATAAAATTTACATTTGGAATCTGAGTGTAGAGTTTTCTCTCTTTTGAGTTTATTTTTAAAATTCAAACACTATTGGCCATTGTGTGTGAATGTTCAGTACAGGCCGAACCTACAAGATATTAAATGATATCCTTATAGAAACTTCTGAATATGAATAGTCATCTGAATGGAGATTAATTCTTAAAGCTTATTTGATGTATTTGCTCAATTTAGGCAGTGGCATCTAACTTGTTAGAGTTACTCAAGAAAATGTAAAGACATGGTTTGCCGACTATACTGATAAAATTTTCTTTCAGAGTCTGAACTTTAAATTCTAAAATTATGAATGAGGTCTAAAAGGTGGTCACTTGATTATTGGTTTTGTATGCTCCCGTTGAACATTCAAAAGTTGTGTTTTCAAGAAAACTCAATTCTCATACCAACTATCAAATGCTGAAAGCAAATTTGGCTTATTTGATTCGTCTGGTGTTCTCAGGTGTGAACCCTTCCCAACATATCCTCGGACATATGACATGCTTCATGCGAATGGGCTTCTCTCACATCTCTCTTCTGAGAGGTGCAGTTTGATGGACTTATTTCTAGAGATGGATCGAATTCTGCGTCCTGAGGTATCATTACTTTTCTTTCTTGAAATTTAATGCAGTGCCCCTTTTTTGTCTCATTCCATTTTAATGCAGGAATTGCCTCTGATACCTCTCCATTGGTTGTTAGAATGTTTGAAGGAAAATAATACTTTTAATCAATGCCCTACAATGCCATTTCTTTTCATGCATCCTAGAATTTGTTCTATTAACGAATATTTCCTGAAATAGTTATTACTTGGACAACTATTGATCTACATAATATGTGCTTTTATGTTTGTTTGCAGGGTTGGGTCGTGCTCTCTGATAAATTGGGAGCTATAGAAGTGGCACGTGCACATGCTACACAGATACGATGGGAAGCAAGGGTGATCGACCTTCAGAATGGTAGTGATCAGCGGCTACTTGTTTGTCAGAAACCATTTGTGAAAAAATGACTGATCTAGCACCAGAAGGTCGCATGGCCATGGATGTGTACAATTTTTTTGACCTGGTAATCCTCTATTTAATCCACCAAAACATGTTCTGCAACTCACGCATGCATTCATGCACAAATTAATGCTAGCTGAACCACACATGCCCAGCTAATTAAAATATAACACAGATTAGTTGATATCTCATGACATTGGAATTGGATTTGGTTTTTAGATCCACAGGATAAGTAGCCTTGTTCACCAATTTATGCTTATAGCTGCTTGTTTGCTTCCGAGCCAATTAGGTCCTCTCAAGTTTTTGATGGTATCATCAGTCCATTGATTTTTCATCCGGCTATAAAATCTCGGTGTTGGCACATTACAGATGTCTATTTTCAGATGTAGTTAGCATTTGTCCAGAGACACTAGCTATCTATTCTGTTCGAACTAAAATGATAATCCGTATTTAATATTTTGTGTTGGAACTGATGATGTAGTTTTTTTGTCAGATGATGAACTATTAGCTGCATCACAACACAAGATAATGCTCTGGAGTCGCAACAGGTTTGAGATATCAATTGACTGAAACAAGGAGCATGATAGAGGCTGTAGATTAGAAAAGAGGTTTGCTGCAGAAATAGCTGCAATTCCTTTTTCTTTCTTTTTCCTTTTCTTTTTGATCAAGGCATTTGTAGCAATTCATTCATCCATTTTTTTTTTTAACTTTTGTCTTAATTTTGAGTTTGTTTATTTCTTTATTATTTGATATTGAACTCATCCTTTGTATTGAACCAGCATTGCTGTGCAATTCCCCACGAAATGTGATAATTACAAATAGATCAAAAACAAGCACTCTGTCTCTTTCTCTTCTTTCTCTATGCACATGCAGAGTGTTCCGAAAGCTAGCCGAAGCTTGGGGAAGAGATATCAAAACCCCATTGAAAAGAAGTTTGTCTCGGAGAAAAGGAAGGTTGTCCTTTAAAAAGCAAAGGGGAAATGACTTTCTGCCCATATCTCTCTCTTCTCCTATCTCTAGTGGCCATTTTCTGCCCATATCTCTCCAATATATCAGCCAAATCAAACAACCCAACTTCCCTTAATTTCTTCCCTACCTCCTCAAACATAGCCACACCTTCCTCGTTTGAGTAGTAGTGCAAGAACTTATTGTAATCAAATCTAGGCACCTCCATTCCTCCTTTCATTGTTCTCTCCACATACTTGGTTGCCTCTAGTGTCTTCCCAGCCTTAACCAAACCTCCAACAAAGATTGTGTCAAAATTCACCAATGGGTCATGTCCTTTCCTCCCTCTCTTCCCCAAATGCCCTTGCAATAGCATGATGTATGTATGCATTATAGGCTCACACCCTCTGCTTATCATCTCTCTGAACACCTGGGTTGCTTCGCTTGCCTTCCTCAACCTCAACAGCCCCTTGATTAGTGCATGGTAGACACTGATATCGGGCTTCTCAATCCCTTCCAAAATCCTGTAAAGCCTCCCTGATCCTCCCTCTTGCTAGAAGCCCGCATATGATCGAAGCCAGTGTCAGATTATCAGCTTGGATCCCTCTTTGGCGCATTTCCTCGAACACCCCATTGGCTTGCTCAACCTTGCCTCTTTTGCACATCCATTTGATCACAAGCCTGTAACTTGAAAGGCCCAAATCATCCATTCTCTCAACTCTCATCATTTGGAAAGCCTTCATTGCCTCATCATACTTGTCGGTCTTGAAAAGTGTCTCCATTATCGTCTCCACAGCCTCAACATCAGGCTCAAGCCCTTCATCCACCATCAAATTCCAAACCTTTGAAGCCTCAATCAAGTCACCCACATCGCAGAATCCCCATATCAACCATTTATAAGTAACCCCATTTGGCTTAACCCACTCTTTCAACTTGAAAGTCACAAACTTTGCCTCTTCAACTAGCTTCCCTTTACACAAACTTTCCACCACCTTATTTAAAGTCTCCAGCTTGTACCCAACCCCAAACCCATTCATCAAATGGAAAAACTCCACGCATTTCTTCAACTCCCTTGCTGAAGCTAAAGTCTTTAAAGCTATCCTGAAAGTCTTATCATTGACCAAACCGAGTTTTCCCATTTCTTGACAGGTTTCCCAGAAAAGTTCAATGTTTCTGGATTTTCCAATGACGTCCAACATTTTGTTGAAGGTGAGGGAGTTGTGAGTGAAGTGGGGAAGCTTTCGGGTGTAGAGAAAGAAGCGGTAGATGGGTCGCCATGAGTAAGGGAAAGTGTTGCACACTTGAAGGAAGAATTCAGGGTTGATGGAAGGATTGGAAGAAGAGAGGGACGAGTGGAGGCGTGAGTCGGGTGAGCTTTGCTGTTGGTAGAGGATCGTGCAGACGTTGAGGAGAGTTGATTGGTTGGTTGGGGTTATGAGGTTGAGAGGGTTAGGGTGGTTAGTGAGTTGTGGGTGAGTTGACTCGATGGCTATGCGCCGGAGGTGAGGATTGGACAAAGGTTTAAGGAGGGGTTTTAATCTCCTTGTCAACATTTTTGGTTAAGAGGAACAGGAAGGAACCAGGTTTCAATTTTATCCGGAAAAACCAAACAAATAAATAAATCCGAAGGTTTCTTTTGCGTGCATGAAAAAATGAGGCAACCTGGAGTTGCAGGGGATCGAACCCTGTACCTCTCGCATGCAAAGCGAGCGCTCTACCATTTGAGCTACGACCCCATGTTATTTAAGCGGATGATATATTCTCATGAGAGTTATATTGAGAACATTTCTCACATCGAATGTCAAAATAATAGCTCACCTTACATCAAGTACAAATATAATTATTAATATTTATATAAAAATTTAAGTGAGACACTGTTAATAACTTGAATTTAAGTTTTGATTGTCATATAATTTAGATTCAAAATATTATTAGATTAGTGATATTCGGTATTTTTGCTCATATATTAATACAAACAAAATAGACTGAAAACTGAATAAACCAATTACCCAAAGGATTATTATTATTATTATTATTATTATTATTATTATTATTATTATCAAATAACTAGAAAAAAAAAGTAGTTTAAATAAATTTATGAAAAATAATAAAATGAAAAAACCAAAACAAAGGAGCATGAGAGGAGCATCATTAAATTTTCCAAAAAAAGCCCGATCCCCGACAGAGAGGGATTGAACAAATCCAAGTTCAAGGAAATAACAAAGAAACAACGAATCGCGCGCTCCTTCAACTAACGGTCCAGATCCGGTCTTCCCTTCGCCCCACACTTTGCTCCTTCTTCCACTCTCCTCTATAAAGATTTATCCTCCCTTTCCCTCTCCCATTCCTCACATCTCTTTTCTTTTCTCCTTTAAGCGCTCTGTTTTGTTTGTGTTTTTATTTTTTTTCTTCTTTTCAATCTGTTATCAACAATGTCTAATACAGAGAAGGAGAGAGAGACTCATGTTTACATGGCCAAACTCGCCGAACAAGCCGAACGTTACGAAGGTAAATCACAACGAAGAGGAAAAAAGAATCATTGGGTTTCGACTTTTTTTATCTGAATTCCAACTTTTAATCGTTTGAGATTTTTGGGTTTTTTTTGGGAAACAGAAATGGTGGAGACTATGAAACAAGTAGCGAAACTCGGCTGCGAGCTGACAGTGGAAGAAAGGAACCTTCTGTCCGTGGGATACAAGAACGTGATCGGTGCGCGGAGAGCTTCGTGGCGGATCATGTCTTCGATCGAACAGAAGGAAGAGTCGAAGGGGAATGAAGAGAATGTCAAGTTGATCAAAGGGTACCGCCAAAAGGTTGAGGAAGAGCTCTCCAAGATCTGCACTGACATTTTGGGCATCATTGACAAGCATCTCATCCCTTCTTCTAACTCTGGTGAAGCCACTGTTTTTTACTACAAGATGTAAGCTTTTCTTTTCTCCTCGTTGTTTTAATTTAATTATTCCTTCATGCTTTTGCTGATCAATTTTTCCAGGTTTTGTTCTTTTTATTTGAGGAATTTTGATGGGTTTTGTGATTTGGATTCAGGAAAGGTGATTACTACCGGTATGTTGCTGAGTTCAAGACAGATCAGGAGAGGAAAGAGGCTGCTGAGCAGTCATTGAAAGGCTATGAGGTATATAGATCATACTAGTATTTGGATTTTAGTGTTCTTTACTTCTGCAGTCACAGCTGAGTTTGCCTTTTTTTGGTTGCTATTTTCACCTATCAGGCTGCTTCTGCCGCTGCAAACACAGATCTTCCTTCAACCCACCCAATTCGTCTTGGCCTTGCCCTTAACTTCTCTGTCTTTTATTATGAGATAATGAATTCTCCCGAGAGGTATAAACGTTACATCTATCATTGTTAGCAGAAGAGAAATCTTGAATTATGAATTGTTTGTGTTTCAAGGAGACTAATGATCTAGGAGAGAATTGTAATGGCATTACCATTACTATAATTATGTTAGCTATCATAATTAGTTCAAGGGTCTAAGTGGTTTCCAGTATCTGAATTGCTGCACCTTTTCATTACATATTTTGTTATTTGAAACTCCCAGGGCCTGCCATTTGGCTAAGCAAGCCTTCGATGAGGCAATTTCAGAGTTGGACACTTTGAGTGAAGAGTCATACAAGGATAGCACCCTAATTATGCAGCTGCTGAGAGACAACCTCACCCTGTGGACTTCTGATTTACCTGAAGATGGAGGTATTTATATAGTTTGAAGTAAATAACTTGGTTATATACCGCACAGCCTGCATTATCTTGTGGAACTTCTCCTTGCTGAGTAGTTTTTAAGAGCAGAAAGACCAAAGTAAATGATAGTATGTTGATGCAGGGAGTACCACTGTTTTATTGTTCATCATTTCTTGCATCCTGTCATGTTATGGACAGAGTGTTATTAGATCTTCTCCTTACTGTCCTGTTCAAACATTAAGCCTTGTAGTTGATTTCTAAGTTTGGCATGCTTGGAAGCACTGAAGCTTAGATGTTGCATGAACCAATGCAGGTGAAGATAGCATAAAAGGTGAAGATGGTAAATCTACTGCAGAAGCTGAGGTAAAAGGCGAGGCAAGTTCTTGCACTGGTTTTCTTCTTCTGGAACTTATCATTTTGATTACCATTTTACCTTCCTCACATCAAGAAATCTCTGATTGGTTTTTGCAGAAATGAGGAATCTGGAAGCCTGCATGTGGCAATTCAATGGTTTTTTAACACTCTGCAGTATCTGCTTCTTATAGCTCTTCTCACAAAGAGGATTGGATCAACCAGTCTATTAGCCCTTTTACAATGCTAATGATCAATTTCAGTACAAGCAAAGCCAGATGATGAAGTTGATCACTTGATCCAACCATGTTTTTCTTTTCACTACTGTTATTTTTTTTCCCCATTTCTGTTGCTTTTGCTTTTATTTTAATGTTGCCTACTATGGCTGTTATGTTAAATTTTTCTTTATAATTTTATCCTCTCCCCACTTGCCTTTTGGCTATTTTGTGTCACAATTTCCATGGCTCAAACTTAGGTTAAATCAATTGAAGGAGGCTTTGTGAAATAACTGCCTGCTAATTTTTAAGGTTGCCCCAAAAATTGATAGATTATTTTCTTTAATGTTGAAAAGTTGAAAATGATTTAAAAGATGTGACAATATATATGTACATATATATACATGTTTTTATTTTTAAGAATTTTATTTAAATTATTGAAAGAGCCGTTTCGATTATAAACCATTATCATAAAAAATTAAAATGTGTGAGAATTTTAATTCATGCATGAATAATTGTAAAGTAAAAAAGAAAACGCAGGTATGTTGGACAAAGATCAACGTTTAAGAACAAATTGATGAACAAATCGAACCAATTCAGGGCTCATAACATAATTTGATCAGCCATTAAGCTTAATTTGGGTTAAATTTTCGGTTTTGTTTTGCAATGGTAAATCCTTTGTTTTCTCATTTTCTCAACATGTTGCACTTTGTTCATGAAAAGCTTAGTCAGGAGTTTATTGGGTAAAATCAATCATTATATTATATGTTAGACATAATCATGTGATATTTTTATACATTAACATCACGTGATGTTATATTTTTATTATTAATAATTAATTAATTATTAATTATAAAAATTTATTTAATTTAAAATAAAAATTTTAAAATTTAATTAAACATAATAAAAAATTTATATAAATTTTCTTAAATTATTCAGAAAATTTTAAAAATATTATACAAAAAAAAAATCTTTCAATTTCCTTTTAAGTTGATTTTCCAACCCGATTAAAGACGAATTTCTTGGTTCGGATTCTTGTAATTTAACTTAAACCTTTTGCAGGGTAAAATGTTGATGAAAATAAATCAAACTAGTATTCAAAATGTCATTCAAGAATGCATGTTCATGTATACCATGACTGTCATTTAATTCGTATTTAGATAAACATTTTTCCCAAAAAGGAAGCAAAAAAGGGGGGTTAAGAGCAAATTTATGAAACGATTGCATCAGATATAAGCTTTCAAAAGATGCTAGGGCCGATATACATCCCATCAAAATTGTAACCTAATTTTTTACAATCTTCTGTTATATGATCAAGGAACATGATCACAAGCAGGAAGCATCAGATCAGATAAAAGAACCCGAGTCTAGGACAAATACCCGATGCCAAAATCGAGTTTAAGCTTCTTCCTTGACAAAATAACTTTGCGGCAAGCAAAAGTCTTCCTCGTGATTTAGGATATCCATCTCTTCATCATCTGGTTTCTGAAATTTGCATAAGAGCAGGTGAGCAACAACTACCTTTCGATTATGACCCGAAAGCAAAACCACTTGTCCAAAAGTCAAAGCAGAAATACATTCACTTAACATTCGACATTAAGGATTAACACATAACAACAGCTATCAATTCTTTTTCGAAACCCCAAAAAAAAAATAATTTGCTCCATGTTTTTCCGGTCACCATGTGAGCCAAACTTTGCTTGTGAATATCTCTATCCAACCACTATGAGTGAAAACAAAGGGTTGAACTAGGCACCCAGCCACCCACTATATAATCATTTTTTTAGATCACATCACGACTCAGACATTTATCAATTTACATGGAAATGTCCACGACACTAATTAATGGAAAAACTCATTTTCAACAGAAACTAATTGATGGACATGAAAATGAAATCTTGAACAATAAGTTACCAGCACTTCTAAGTTGTAGAAACGATCGAGCAACTGCAAAACCTCATCTGGAGAAAATTGTCGGTCAAGGCTGTGACAAAATTTAGCAAAAGATAAGAGAGTGTAACAGTGAATAAAGACCAACCAGAATCTTTGCATCCAAAAGGGGGATTGATATGGAGCAAAAAAGAATAGGAGGCAGAACAAACCTTCTCCGCAGGAATTCCATTAGACCATAGAGGACAAAGTGGCGATGCATGCCTGCATGGAGGCAAATTTGATATACAGTTATGCACTTGAGTAGTGACCAATTGCTAAAAGAGCAAACAAGGAAGTCGATGACTCGTTGTTGTTTTCCCATAAATGTGTGAATTCACAAATTTCTTTACTGTATATAAGTAATTTGCACAAGTGCTAGTGACTTAATCCTTAACATAGATCCCTAAACAGTAAACATGACAAGCAGTCAGCACCATTGGTTCCTAGATCTATCATAAGGAACAGACAGTCAAGCCAAAAATGCATGTAAAAGCTCACGTTCTATTGCCAAGGAAAAACACAACAGATAGTTTATGAAAGGCACTTTTTGCTTAATTATTTATCTATCAGCGATTCAGTACTTGTTCCCGCTAAAAAGACAAACTGACCGCCTGAGTACATGTTTTCGGCATAAATATTGTAATTAAAGAGCAAATGTTACTCAAACACAAGGCATACAATTACTCCTTCAACAAAAGTTTGTACTATTTCCTAAAGGTAATGAGAAGTTAATCCGCCGAGGGGAGACACCACCACACTGACACTTTCCTTGGGGAATATAACATATGTAGATTTGGGGAAGAGCAAAAACACTTTTCCATCGCGGAAATCTAATTCACCATTTCAATTGATCAACATGTTAACAATGGAGAAATGTTATGAAAGATCGAAAGGGATGCTCCGATTATACTTCCGAAAATGTGTTATACTCTTCACGAGCATGACAAACATGTTACAGCAATTCACAATTTCAATCATATTGGAAAATGACCTTTCCATTAGTATATCACTTACAGAATTCACTGACAAAATTATATTTTTCTTTTCTCTTCCAGTTAATTTCCTAGGAAAATAATGATCCCTTTCCTCTGCCCTTATTTTCTAGGCAAACATGCAATTTTACACTAAAATACAGAAAATTTCTTCCTTATAGAAACAATTAATAAACAAAACAAAAAAAAAAAAAGAATCGAAAAAAATAAAAAAAAAAGGCACAAACATGCCTCGTAATTTGACGGGAGGATAAATTTCAAGTGCTTCCAATAGCCTCAGCTCCAATTCTACCTGTTGTTGCTCCTATTAAATTTTTAAAAAAAATTAACAATAATAATAATAATACTAATAATATTACATCAACAAAACTGTTAATATTTAAAAAAGAAAAGAAAACAAGAACGCGGAGAGAGACCTTGGGGAGAGATGAGGCAGAGGAAGGAGGAGCTTTGCAAGGGGAGTGTACGGAAACGCCATCTTGTTCCTCTTCTTTCTCTCTTCCACCTCCACCTTCCATTCGCGATCAATTTTTACAATTTCGCTACCAAACAATACGTCAAGAGACGTTTGTTCTTGTTCCAGATTAAATTCGAAATCGAAAACAATTGTTTCTTTCGACTTTTTGGCTAGGGATTTCCCCTTTGATCCGAAAATGCACTTCCCATGCAAATTATGCTTTGTTTGTTCCATTCCTGGGCTGGCCCATTATTCAGCCCGTTACCTTGGCCCACAGTCTAAGCCTTATTTATAATTTTCTCTTTTAAAAAAATATCTAAATTTTTAAAATTAAAACCTTCCCTCTTTTTCTTTATTTTAGGAAAAATAAAAATACTTTCGTCAATAATTGTTTGTGATTAAATAGAAAATATCTTGAAATAAATAAAATTTATCCAATTTATTGACTTTGATTTTGAATATAACTTCCCTCAAAAGATTTAATTTAAAAATTTATAAATTCCATTTAAACCTTATCTATAAAATAAAAAGATTAATAAATATGATTAATTCTAAAAAAACACATTAGGCTATAGATACATTTATATCTCCTGCCTAAAGAGTATGGATTAAATCTCTCTTCTTTCAATTATAAAAAAATAAATCTTTACAAAATGACGATTCTTGCTAAAATCTAATTAAATGAAATTATCCGATTCTTTTTGTTAATTATAAATAATAAATTATAAAAAATCTCATGTTATATATATATATATAATTATTACATGACAAGGTTGTAGAATAAAGAAAGAAGTCAAGACTTATGTCATTGAACATGCTTAGTCTCTTTTTTTTCATTATTTTAAGCTGAGAAAGTTCATCCTATGAGAAAGCCAAAGCCTCCCTCTCAATTCACTCCCATTGACAAGGATTCCACCTTGTGTTTCTATTAACAAATTATAGTTTTAATACTAATAAATAATCCCATTGCCACCCAACAACAACCCATACAATTTCCCTTTTTAATGCAAATTTGATCATATAAAAAGTATCTATAATTCCATTTCAATTTCGATAAAATAAAAGATTTTATTCAATAAAACAAATTGAATAGAATCCGAATTTTTTTATATTTTCAATATATTATAAATTGAAGACTCAAAATGAAGTTTTTCGTTATAATTTATTCATAATATAATCATGAATAATCACGATCGAATTTGAAAAAGGGACATTTTAAAAAATAACAATAAGTTGTTTTCAAATATAACATCTTTTATAATTTTAACTATTTTTAACTAAGTTAGATAAAATTATTCTTAATAAAATTACACACTATGATGTTACACACTATGATGTTACACACCATGTACAAAACATATTACACATCATGGTTAAGTTGTTACACGTCATGTACAAAAATATGTGACACGTTATATTTAAATTGTTACACACCATGGTTAAATTGTTACACGCTATGTACAAAAATATGTTACACGCTATAATTAGGTTGTTACACGTCATGTTAAAAAAAATACTGTTGTTACACGCTTTGTACAAAAACATGTTACACCATGGTTAAAAATTATTACACGCCATGTTAAAAAAAAATTACTGTTATTACACACCATGTTAAAAAAATTTTATTGTTACACGTCGTATTTAAAAACATTTTGTTACACTTTAATGCCTAAACTGTTATTGTTACTTACAAATTAAAACTTCAAATCTTCTCAACTCTTTTTATTTTTTTTTGTTTCTTTGATAATTTGGCATGTGTTTCTAACATGTTTTTATAAATCAAAATATAAATTTTCTTATTTAAAACACCTATTTTGACTAAAAATCGAAAAAAAAATTTATTGAAAACCTAATTTTATAAATTTTAAAATTTTGAGTTTATTGGTGTCTAGATCTTGAATTGATCCAATTAAAAACTATTTCAAACATTTGTGATCATTTTTACTGTTTAGTTTTATCTCAAATACCTAAAAGTCAAATTCTCCAGATAACCATCTATTAAAGTACTTCAAAACCATCATTTGGTATCTTCAAAGTATTGGAAAGAGAAATCTAAAAGTGCGAAAGAGAAATCGAAAGTGTAGTAGATTAATGTCGAAAAGAAAAATCGAAAAAATTAGAAAGAGTGAGATGTTGAAAGAGAGAAATTGAAAACACAAATGGAGAAAAATTATAATAAATAATTTAATTTATTTAAAATAAGTTTATAGGTATTTTTATCTAAGTTATAATTAAATATGATTAAAAATAATTAAATTTATTTTAATAATTATTTTTAAGTATTCTTATCAAAAAAAATTATTTCTCATAATTTTCTCTTTAAAAATGTATTAGAGACCTATCATACATCAAATTCCAAGAGCCCATATCTGTTTGACAAAAGTAATTGTGGGAATTGGTTAGGGCTAAGATAATGTCATAGGTACATACTCATGGAAGTCTTGAAAAGGTGGGGTAGGAGAGCTCAACTGCTCTAGTTTGAGAGGGAAACTTTGGGTAAAAGACAAAAACGAATCAAAACGACCCTGACTCGTGTTTGTTGCTCTTTCTTTTTAACTCTTTTGTCCCCTACAGTTTCTCCATTATTGAGCTTCAAGCTGACTCATCAGAGCTAACGTTCTCCTTCAAGTTTTCCTCTAGGCTGAAAGATTCTTTTTCTGTGATTATTTTTCCTACTCGCCATTCTCTTTCCATTGGGTGCTTCCTATGATGTTAATGGAATCCAAACTGGCTAGATTTTAGGCTTTCACGCTTTCCGTATAAGCTTGCCTGTTGTAATTATTATATTAAAACTATTAAACCTCTGTCTCTCTCTCTCTGTTTTCTCCGCTTGCTGTAGATTTACTCCATTGGTTCCAACGTCCCAACTCCTTTGTCTCTCCCTATACTTCAGTACCAACACGCTCTTTCGATACCCTTTTCTCCATAGTTGTCTTTTGATCTTTTTCTTTTTGCTAGTTGAATTCAAGATGGCTTCAATCACTAACGCGGCTCATACTTTGGTAACAAATTCTCGGTTTTCTTCTCTATATTTATCGACAAACAAAGTTTTGCCTAGTTGTCTTTTGCTCAAGACTCGACCATCAGCTTCTTCAAGGGCCTCGGGCCTTGCGATTTCACCTTTACCGGACAAAAACAAAGCTTGGGTTCCTGTAGGGTTCTCTGGCAAGCCTTTGACATTGCCTGGTTGGAATCAGACCTTGAGGCGGCGGGGCCAAGTTGAGTTCCCGGTCGCTGCAGCTGCTGCGGCTGCTGATGGTGGTGAAATTGAGATTTCTGATGGGTTAGGCACATGACTTTGATTATCCTCTTGTTTTGTTTAGCTTTTGCTAATTTATGTTACTTTTTTCCCCTTGTCTTTCATTCATACATTTAACTGCAGGTATGCAAAGCCTTCAAAGAGTTTTGCAGAGAGATTTCCTGCTTTGGTCACTGGTTTTTTCTTCTTTATGTGGTAAGCGATATCTTTTCCTTTCTTCTAACCTTTTTACGGAAATCAAAATCTAAAGAATAATTAGACTTGGGATTTAATTGGTTGAGTACATACAAGAATGTATGACTTTGTGCCTGTGCTCCCATGATGAATTGTCTGGTATTTCATTGTGGGTTCTTAACTTAAGAGCCTTTCCTGCCTCCTAGGTCCCAAGGAAATATGATAAAAGGTTCAACAAATTAAACTGACACCTTTATCTTACATGTTGTCTGGCTAGAATATTACTCTTCAAATTGATTGTTTTCTGAATCTGTACAGGTACTTCTTAAATGTAATCTTCAACATACTCAACAAGAAGGTCTACAATTATTTCCCATATCCATAGTAAGTTACACCAGCTTGATAGTTTTGTTATGTAAAAGATCATGATGTACCATTAGATTAAGAATTGTTTGCATTTTTGTATGGCTTTTGAAATACTAGAGAGTGCTTTCTTTTTCTCCCTTTTTGCAGTTTCGTTTCAGTTATACATCTGGTAGTTGGAGTGGTCTATTGTCTTGTCTGCTGGGCTGTTGGCCTGCCCAAAAGAGCTGTAAGCTTAGTTTTCTCAGTTGCTATCTTTGCTGCCTAATGTTACACTATGGCTTTCCTCTAAGAAACAGAGTTTCTGTCCTGTTACCAGCCAATTGATAAGGAGCTCTTGGTGCTATTGACTCCTGTTGCATTCTGCCATGCCCTTGGACATGTCATGTCCAATGTATCATTTGCAGCTGTTGCTGTGTCCTTCACTCACACTATTAAAGGTAACATGATCTGCGAAAAAGGAAAAGGCATTGGTTCTAAGTGTAATTTCTCTAGCATTAAGCATGTGTTTGTCCTAATAAGGGATATATTTCTGTTGTGTGCTTATCCAGGTTCTCTTAAGACATAGTGTTAGTTAATTACCTTATATGTTTCACTTACCACATTGCCATTCTTTCATTCTTGTATACAGCCATGGTTATTCTAACCTTCTAAGAGAGGTAACAAACTAATCAGTTTAAGAGTATATGATAAAAGTTCTAAGATATCCACAGTTCTAACAGAATATATTAGGTCAATCCTGCGTGAGAAGTTCTTCTCTTCGTAATCTTCTTGATGGCAATGTTTTCTGTCAATGCTCCGATGTGTGTTTTACAATTCTGTGATTATGAGTATCTTAACACCTTGAACTACTGCATGGATATCTAAAAATAACAACAGGTAGATACAACTACAGACAATTTTCATTGATCTAGCTACTTTCTGTTTAGTTAAACTTATTAGACTTCTTTCAATCAGTAGCCTAACAGCTTCAAGTCATGTCTAAGTTCATGATTTCTACTTCCTAACTGCTGTTTTATGTTTTTACCACAGCCCTGGAGCCATTCTTTAACGCTGCAGCTTCTCAGTTTGTTTTAGGCCACCAGATTCCCCTGCCCCTGTGGCTTTCACTAGCTCCTGTTGTTATTGGTAAACTTTTTTGGACTACCATCTTCTTCCTTTTTACTTCTTCACTCTTCCTTGCAAGAATCAATCTGTTTGTAAAATCTTGCCATGTAAAACAGCTTTTTTAGGACTCTTCTGAAACTGATGTTATCTTCTACTCTACCTTTTAGGTGTTTCAATGGCCTCACTGACTGAACTTTCTTTCAATTGGACTGGTTTCGTTAGTGCAATGATTTCAAACATTGCATTTACTTATAGAAGCATATATTCAAAGAAAGCAATGGTTAGAGAAGGAGCTTTTACCTTTCCTTTATATTTGAATCTCCGTATCTGCTACTGCAGCATTTCCAGATATGTACCCTATTCATGTCACTAAACAGAACAGACCTACTGCAAGCTGAGTATTCTTGGCAACCATTAATCTCCAAATTCTAATCGTTTGGTTTTTGACTTTTGACAGACGGGGATGGATAGCACAAATGTTTATGCTTATATCTCAATAATCGCTCTCTTCGTCTGCCTCCCACCAGCGATATTTGTAAGTAGATCGAAAACCAATAGGATCTGCACAAACTTTTCACTTTGATTAAGCAAGTTATCACTATGAATTAGCTAATATGGATCTGCTCTGCATCCAGATTGAGGGACCTCGGCTGATGCAACATGGTTTCAGAGATGCCATTGCCCAAGTTGGTCTAGTCAAATTCTTGTCTGACTTATTCTGGATCGGAATGTTTTATCATCTCTACAATCAGGTATGTATCATACATTAATTAGACTGCTCCTTTATTCTGAATGAATCTCTTTCCACAAAGGTTTACTTCACCTGAACTAACAAGATTTTGAGCTGAGAAATGCAGCTTGCAACTAATACCTTGGAACGGGTTGCACCCCTTACACATGCAGTCGGAAATGTATTGAAGAGAGTTTTCGTTATCGGCTTCTCTATTGTGGTATTTGGTAATTAATCCGGCTCTCTTTCTCTTATGTGATATGTTCAGTGCAACAAATTTTAAGCATGCCAGAAGATCTGACATCTGAACTGGTCAAGCTAGTTAATTTTAGTCATTGTTTTTACTGAAGTTTGCAAAAAATATGGCAGGCAATAAGATCTCCACACAAACTGGGATTGGTACTGCAATAGCCATTGCAGGAGTCGCCATCTATTCCCTTATCAAGGCAAACATGGAAGAACAGAAAAGAGTAAGATCCGTAACAGAGCAGCCATAACTTCTATTAACTTCTGCATCATCTCTAATTGCAACGGATAGTCAGGCTCAAGTTTTTGACAATTCTTTTTGTTTTTCTACCCTTTCAGAAGGCTGCTTTAAGTCCTGCATCCTAAGGAAGCTGGAGATGGACTGCAAAGCCCTGTCCACTAACGTATAGATAACAAAGACAACTGAAGATTGGAAATTTTTGCCTAGTTTATGCTCATAAAACTTTTTGAAGAGGGATGCTTTGACAACCAAACTAAGGAATGAGAAAAAGAATAAAAGAACCCCAACTTCCCGGATTGGCTTTATTGGACAATGATCTTACCACATTGGAACAATAATATTTCAAATGAGAAATACCATTGATTTTTTCCTAAGGGAATGCTTGTTTTGTTTTTTTGTTGGCAATGCCAATGCTACTAACTATAACGAAGAGTATCAAGTTTCAGTTAGTTGAACTCAAGCATCAAACGGATTTAGATCAGCATTTGCATTTCTGTGATTACTGTCAGAATCATCACCTATTTCCTGTAAAGCAAGCACCCTAACTATTTCTTAAGTGAGGTGACGCCCTTGTCGTCAGCGACCACCTTATCTATCTACTCTTTGGAGGTGCTGGCGGTGTTTGGTGTGAATCAAGTGTAGATCAAATCCGCTCTGATATCACTTTGTCAGACAATCATAACTCTTTTCGAAAAGCTAATTTGATAGGATATACAATGCTCACACTTATAAGCTGTCCAGAATTCCCTATTTACCCGATACAAGATTGAAGCATCCCACCTACTTTTGAAACGCTTCGTGTGACACTAGCACCAACGCAACTAAGATTAAGTAGGCAAACTCTCCTAAACAGGCAGCAGCATCCCACCTACTTTTGAAACGCTTCGTGTGACACTAGCACCAACGCAACTAAGATTAAGTAGGCAAACTCTCCTAAACAGGCAGCAGCATGCATCTTAGGTAGAAACTAGAATGAACTAAACAATCTTAGTTTTCTCCTTTACAATGAACTGAATCTGAACCATCTTAGTTTACTCTTCATGAGCTACAAGAAAAAGCCTACACTGAGGCTTTTCTTTTAATTTTTTTCCTTCAGACTTCAGACTAGTACCATCAGGCAAATTAGTATCAACATCCATCATCATTAAACCGCAAATTGCGAGATAAACAAGAAGGCTAGATTAAATTATTGGGTGAAAGAAACAAAAATGAAGAAATATATGCTCTTTGCTCCTTAAATAATTGGGATGGTTCTACATTTATAATTTATTCATCAACATATGAGTATCTTTTGATTAACATTTTGTTCCTACTCCTCAGAAAGCATATAAAGGAAGAAAAAATGGGGATAGGGAAACTAGGTAAAAATTCACAAGCTACAATCATGACAGTTATCCTGCCAAGGCTCAAAATTGACAAAAATCAAATAATGTACAGTCAAGTGGGTTCATTGGACCTTGCAACATGTGAACTTGGTGAACCCCCAATCATCATTGTATTTCCAACATAAATTAGACCTGAATCTGAAAAGAGAGATTAATTTTATTAGCAAAAACATATGCCATCAAGTAGAAACTGAGTAAAAAACCAACTTGCAGTGAGCTTTTATAGCATAAAATTCAAGGTTTCAACTACCATAAGAACAGAGTAGAGAAATAAACTATTAAAACTGTCTCAATCCAAAGTAACACATACAAAACTTTCTGGACCTTTCTCACGCAAGCATTCATATCATAATACAGCAGAGCCTACCTATGATGCTGATGCATATTCAGTGCCATAGTCAAGCTCAAAAAGCATGCCCCTGCGGTTTTCTGAGCCCATTTGAATATTGAACTTCTTTGCCAAGGACTCAACTCGATCATCACTCTCATAGTCCATCTCTCGTATACATCGCCTTCTGACCTTTTTTAGTGTTTCTTTTGAGGGTGCAAATCCAACAGTCACCTGCCAAAAGAATTGTTGAATGGCCATTAATCTTTTTCTACAGAGATATCATGAGGTTCTACCCATCAGAGAGAAAATGGAATTACCATCTCGTCAATTGCAGAAAGAGCAGATTTTTGATCTCGATTGATGAGATGAGCATCAACAAGCAAAGAATATGACTTAGCATTGGGTTTCACACCCAAGCTCAGCATGTGTTCAAACACCCTTGAAGCTTCAAAAGTCTGCCATGCAAAGATTTATTAACTTGAAGAATTAGGCCTAAATTCAAAGCTTAAATCCCAAAAAACATCTTTCAGTTGGGGAGAAGGGGGTGGTTCCATGAGTAATTTAGATTGCATGAGTATGCAATGGGCCCGAGAAAGAAAAAAAAAGGTTGCATTAAACAGAGAAAAAGACAAGCAAGGAATTAAGCCAAGCCTTTCCAAGAATATCCTGGATACATGCATACAAGCTCAGAAAAACTAATGCATGCATCCACATGTACGCATGCATTTTTTGAGATTGCAAGAGTATTTGCATACAAGGGAGAGAGGTAATAAATACATACCTTCTTCAGCTTTCCAAATGCATACATTAGAGCATTATATGAATGAATATCAGGGGTCAACCCAAAAGAAGAACCTATCGCATCAAACGTTTGGTAGGCACGCTCAATGTCCCATATGTTTCCACAACCCAAAATTATACAATTCAGAGCAGCAACGGACTTGTATGGAGGGTCTGCACTGCTTAATTTCTCAAGTTGATAATATACCTGGGGAGAATATTTCAATTTTGCAACATCAGCAACCACCTCCTTGATGAGCAGAATATATAGATTAGGTCTATGAAAAATTTTAAAAAAGCAATGATGAATTGAATGCCATAAGTGCAAACTTGAATAGCCTTTACTTTTTCAAAAGAAAAGCAAAAATATTTCTCCTTGCAAAAAATTGTTGTAACAAGGACATGAATAAGTGTTAAATTTTGATAGAGTGACCTACAATGATGCATCCATTGCAAGAACAGAAAGATGGAGTAAAAGTTATATGTATTTCCACATATTCTATGATTGAAAACACAAAGGCAACTGGTAGTTCATTCAAATGCTCAATAAGCGACCAATGAAGCAGCTTAAGGAACTTCCTTAATATTTATTTATTATTCATTTTTAAAATTGGACTTATTCAAATTTGAAAAAGCAGCCCGCATGTCTGTTGATATTTCTCATACTAATTTTTTCTTCTTAAGAACTATCACAATCACCAAAAATATTAAATAATAGCTGATTCAATAGAAAATCAATTAGAATGTATGTAATTTGAATTATAAAAGGTCATACTGAATCCAAAGTCTCAAAACCCTTCTTGGAGCAAGCCACAACCAATGGATATAAAGAGGTAAAAGGCGAGAACAAATCTTCTGCTTCATTAATGGAATTCCTGTGAGCTGCCTCAAACTCGTGCAGTGTACCAAAAGCTTTCTGTAGATTCCCCAATGATGCATGAGCATACATCTTCCCAAGGTAAGATTCAGGGCTAGGCACCTTCTTTTGACGCAATGACCGCCGTAGGATTGCCCAGGACGCATCCAACAGGTTTGAACTGTAGGTCCTACCTGCAGTTGCGAATGCTGAGACAATTAAGCCTTGATCTACGGAAAGCAAGAAAGGTGGCCTTGCAATTTCACCCCGAGCAATCCACTTGGCCATGAATTCCAACGCATAAAATGCTAACTTGCTGTTATCCGCTTGCATTGCAACTTCTGCAAGATAGTTGCACAAATTCCAATTTGGATAAAGAGCTCTATTCTGATCTGTTGTCTGAGAAGACCCATAAGAACAAAGTTACATAACCAAATATTGAGCAAAGAGCAACCTCCTTAATCAAAACAATATCGGTGCCAACAAAATGAATCATATACCTTGCACCTCTCAATAACAGTAACCAAAGTATCAAGCCGGCCTTGGCGAACACAGCTCCCCACACATTCAGTAAATACTCTCATAGACAACAAATAACCAGATTTTAAGGCCATATCTACATATTTCAAGGCTGCATCAATCTGTTCTGCCTCAAACAGCATCCCAATAACCAAGTCATAAGAATCATCATCAGGCAAAGATTCTGCTCCACCCTGCAGCATCCTGACACCAATAAAGTGAAGGGTGATACCTCCAATACCAATTTAACATCACTAATATTTTAGAAAGTAATTCCCAAAATAAGCAATAAACTTAAAGCAGTGCTAGACGGATGCACTTATTTTCTATTCAAAAAATGAATGCACATCCTTCTTGAAAGTAAAATTTATGAAAGAAAGGTTTCTAATTCTTCAAAAAAAAGAAAAAAAAAAAGGCCTGCATCCACTCCATTTCTGTCCCACTTAATAACCCAGGTGCAATCTTCGTCCACTTCTAAGACATCTCAGAGTAGTAAAATTTGGTACAACAACATCCACCAATACTACAAACCCTCAACCAAAGACAACCACTCTATCTCCAACTCCAGTAGTTTTACTGGTTTCATGGAGGCTCTAAAACGGTAAAAATCACAGAGGAGATCGTACCCAAAGAGCTTTCTCCAGATCATAGTCGCATTAAAGGATTCAAATTCTCCATACAATTTTAATATACCTGATCAATCAATCCACGCTGACTACTTTCGAAATGTAAAGAAACCAACTTTAACAGCAAATGGGAAAACTTCGCTTAATTTTCCTTCTATTTACTAACTAAAAACGAAATATTTATGAAACTTTCAAGCTAAGGGTAACCTACATTTAAAGAAAAAACAAAAACAAAAAAATAGTAAAACTTTAAAAGAGAGAACTATATATATATATATATATATATATATATGTACGTATGTATGTATGTATAACTAACCGTTCAAGCAACTTCTTAGCAGCTTCAGTTTCCTTAGCCTGGTTCATGGCCTTTAAAATAAAATTAAACGACGCTGTATTGGGAACAATGGCAAAATCATCCATCTGCGCCACCAAATCAAGCAAATCACCGGCAGATGCTCCGATCATCAAATTAGCTCTCAAATAATGATTATAAAGATTCACATCGGGCTTATTGGGCTTCCCATTCTTATCCAGCGATCGAACCCAGAACTCGAAAAGCTCTTTCACGTCGGCCCATCGTTGCTGAGTCATCAAACCGGCGAAATGGTTCATTAAAGCCGGCGCGTCGAGATTTTCGGATAAGTACTGAATCCGGTGACCCGGGGCTTGGACCAGGAAGCCGAGGGGGATCAAGGATTGAGATAGGGAAGTTGAGTTTTGGGCCGCGTTTGGGTTTCGCCAGTTCTCGTGGTAGAGAGGGCTTCCGGACGCTGGGTTGGGAGGGAGAGGGGTAGTCTGAGTGGTGTCAGTCGACTCGGCGAGTTGGGGTTCCTGAGAGAGGAAAGGGTATGTGGAAATGGATTTGGTTTGGTTTAGAAGCGGCATAGAGTCCGTGTTCGGGTCAAGATCGCCATTCGTGAAGCCATTTCTTTTCACTGTCAAAGTGAAGCAGTGAAGCAAGAGAGCTCCCCCGGTTAGGGTTTTTGAGATTACCAAAAAGGGGTTATCTTGTTTCGAGGAGAAAATAGTAATTTCGGAATATCAGCTGTAATTTGGAAATTTTGCAAAATCGGTATGGTCATTTTGGGCATAGTCATTTTCTGTTTGATTCCTTCGGTTGGATTGGGAGGAAGAGTGAGAGGATGCCTTAAAAAGGGCGAAGACAAGAATATAGTCCCATAGAACCATGGCAACAATCGCCACACTTGTTACAAGTACTCTTTTCACCTCCTTTTTTGACATGAATTTGTACATAACCTTTAATGATATATCTCATTTGATTGACAAGACTTATAATTGACATTTATTTAATAATTTCTCATCTCAAATGGATCATCTTGCAACAGATTAAGAGTCTAATCTTGGTAAGTTTAATATCAGATTGATCTTAATTTTCCTAGCAATATAAGATAATTTCCTGTATACGGATGGAAGATGTAACACAAAAATTTGAAGGGCTAAACCCCACTAGAGAATTAGAGAAACTGGAATTTCACTTCTAGGTTGTTTAAGTGCCACCTAATAGGAGAGAGGGAGACACTAAGTAATGGGAAGGAAAGGGAACAACACTTCCAGAGCTGAAAACAGAAGGGTATCCTTGTGCAAAACCTCAGCACTCAAGCTTCATGTGTTTGCATTGATATTCATAAGTCTTTCAATGGGCAACAAGAGTTTTATGAACAAAGCTCAATCTGGCAAAAATGAATTGACAACATGAAACATTTTGCATTCATGGAACCGAACCAACTTAATAATCCAAAATTTGCAGTTGAATTTATCAAATCCTAACCACCAAACACAAAGAGAGGAATTTGATCTCCGCGAACTCCACAAGCATAGCATCACACATTATCTTCAGAACATGATACTAAATAAAATGATTGTCCATCCAAAGTAACACATCGTTCAATTTCTTATAATCCAGTGCACAACATGATTCTAACATCAAAGATGCTGAATATTGAGAAATAAAGGAAGCAAAGCTCAAAGCATAGTATATTCTAAATATTGATTGCATTTCCATGTTTTAATTTACAAATTACAATAGATTAATTTGTTACAGCAATGGGTGGTTGGCTCATACAAATATGATTCCATTCTCCTTAATGGTATCAAGAACTATTCCTAGCTTACCTTCAATCCGCTCACCTTTTCTAGGCTCATAAGACATTGCATAGACATCAGCGTCCTTTGATCGTTCAGCAATAAGTTTCCCTATTATTCTGCATGCATTATGATCTGTGAGTGATGGCAAAGTGTTTCTAAGATCCTTGGCGTTTGTGGTAGCAACAGATATTACTTTACTTGTGCCCCGATGCATCACTTTTGCATGAATAAATTTCTTTGAAAAGAAAACATTTAGTAAAAATGGCCTCATATACATATCGGTCCTTTGTTTCCATGATTTCCGATTGGGTTGCTTTGCAGCTTCACCACGGGATCTCCTGGTCCAGGCAGCTTGAACAAAAGAACCCTACAAATAAATGTCAAACAGAATAACTTATGTTCTCTTTTCTTTCCTCAGTGGATTTAGCTGCCTGAAGTTAGTGTCATCGTGTAACTTATCCATGCAATGAATATGTGCAACAGGAAATCATAATTTAGTATCATAGAAAAAACCAGAGCAAACCCGTTTCAGACTTTTCAATATGGAAACTAAAATCCGCACTATTTGGGATCTCTCAAATGTTAAACAGTACACAGATCCCTGTGGATTCAAAAGAATTACTAAAATTGTCATCAAATGCGTTCTGCTTTACACAGAAGACAACTCGTCAAATTGTGCATATGAGTTCACCAGTTTACAGATTTTAATCATCCAATGATGAAACCCCTCCACCCTGACGTCTAGAAAAATGATGAGAGGAAAATTTGATGCTCTCAATTTGAACAAAACGTAAGCTCAAAGACATTTGATTATTTGGAATTTCCTTTTAACATTTATAGTTAACTGACCCCTCTGAACAAGCTAATAAACAACAAAACAAGTACATAGCAAGATGTTATCTCGTCTCACCTAAGATAGAAGCACCATGATACTATTTTTCTCAAGAGCGTAAATATTAATATTTATGATCTTAACATCACTAACAGTGTGTACCCATCATCTGCTTCAAGATAAAATTCCATAATGCAGAAGTTGTTTTAAAGTCTTCAATGCCTTGGCATACTCAAGACAACAATAATGTTGCTATTTCTAGACATTATAAAATTTTAATTGGCCTAGTACATGTCTCTGCACTAGATTGAAAAGAGATGATTCCTTCCAAACCAGCAAGCTCTTATCAAGTTCATCAGACATCATTGAGTTTCAATTTCAACAAACATATATTGCTGCAAAGGACAACTTTAGAAAACTTTGTCTTGCAACCATCTTGTGCAATAAATCAGCAAGCAAACTGGACTTAATAAACCACAAAAGGACCGTCATTGGCATGATTACAATATACAAAAAAGAAAGGTTAAGTATTAAAATTTTTAATCTAGCAAATGTATTGAATAGGTCCATTCCAAGCCAATAATAACTAATTAGCTTAGCAGACTTTGCACTCCCAAAATCATGATATTCAACCACTAAAAACTCTGATTTCTCGACTTTCCACAATAGTTGAACAGAGAGCAATGGGTCAAATTATATTGTTCATTACATTTAATAATGAAATCTTGATATGCTCTCTTATTTCCCTTTTACAAAATCTGGAATTAGAACTATACACCTAAATTTAAAGCTTCCCCTGAAGCTGCTTCCTCCATGGGAAACTTTTATCATTTTAAACAAATAAGTTAATGACATAGTCAACGTTAATCATTAATCAAGCATGCATCTTTAGCTACATGATGAAACCAAGAACACTGCGCTTTGAAATCTAAAGGCAAAGGCAAACCGGCATCAACATTACCATCAAGTTAACAATTAAACTCCATTATCTTTCAAAAAAAAAAAAAGAACAATTCAACTCCAGCTTTCCAAGTTCATCATATGTTGTCACTAACCCAATTTTATTTCAGCTTAGTTTTACATTCCTAGCAAAGTTATAACAGCGTTATTAAACATAACAAAAACCCATTATGTCATCCGAATCCCTTTCCCAGGAACCAAACAGAACAATGTTAAAGCAAAAAGAATACCTTGTTCAGAGAGGGAGAAGGAGGGAGTGTGAACGAGTTAACGGAGATGTTGATACTGGGAAATGAAGAGACCCACGAGACAGAAGTGAGTTTGTTGGAGCGTTCTGAGTGAGTCGGGAATGAGTCGAGAGGCCGCGTTGGTAAAGCTGATGAAGAAGATATTACGGACGCCATTTTTCCTTGGTTTCTTACCCGGGATTTCGCTTCCAAAGCTAATTCTGGGCTTAAAAACCACTGCTTCTTCTCTCCATTGAGCCCAAATGGACTGCGCTGAATTTGGCCCAACATATGGGTTTGTTTTTTTATTATGAAGTTTTTTTCTTTACAAGCTTTTAATTATAAAATTTTTTAAAATAAATTAATTAAAAATAGACATTTTGGCTTGAACAAGGGATTTAGATCAGTATATTATTCTTTCTAACAATATTATATTTTTCTAATATAGTAATCGTCCTACTAACATTTACAAGATTCGTTTACAAATTTTGAATCTTAAATCTACGAGTTGTTATTATTAATAATAGAGATAACAATAAATATCTTTTAATTATGTATTTATGAATTTTTAACTCAATTATATAAGATACTGATATTCTATATTCAAGTTTAGAATAAATGTGGATACTAAATTCAATACTTATTTTGAGTATCACCCATTAGATATTTGGTATTCGAATATCTTCGAGTACCCATACATGATACTCATATACAACAAATAATATCAAAAATAATGAATACTATTAGATAATATTTGTTTTTTTATTAATAATATTATAAATTTATTACACTTTTGTATTAAAAAGTATTACATATTTAGATTATAAAAAAATTCAAATTTTAATATAAAATACGTCAAATTAAAAAATTTTATTTTAATTTCTGTAGAAGTCAAATAAAGAGGAATAACTATTTAGCTTCAAACTAGCTAAAAAACAAAAGAGCAATATCAATATTTGGATTTTTGTCCTAATAATTGCACTAGCAAAAGCAAAAGGCCAAAAGCCCAAAATGGGAATAGACCTCACAATTCTAAGCCACACAAAACTTGAGGCAATGGCCGAAGAGCAATGCGGGCTCTTACTTTCCTCATACGTCCACCTAATCTTAAAGAGTTCGGTTCCCTCCCTCTCATGGCATCCCACAATGCTCTTCGAGCTTCATATTCTCTCTTACTCAAACCCCATAACGTAACTCACCTGCTACACGACCTCGGAGGAGCAGCAAGAGGAATAAGGGCGAGAACTAGAAGAACAAACTACGGCAGCTTGGGCGTGTTTGCGTCCCAGGGGCCAAGCGGAGGCCGAAGGGCACCGCCGGGAGTTGATACGAGAATCCACTGGGATAATGAAGATGAAGGGTGGATTGGAGGTTCGTCGAAGTCACAGCAAACCAAGGAGAAGCTAGATGCTGAAGAGCAGCAAAAGAATCTCCTCGGTGAGAAGTTTGCTGACTTGCTCAATGACTCCTCTGATTCTCATTACCAGTGAGTCTTGTCATTTTGCCAATTACTTCTATTTTGATTCCAAGGCATGGTATAACTGAACAGAAATGTGTATACTGCTGATTTGCTAGCATGTGCAGAACCATTACTTTCATGGTTCTTGATTAAATCTTTCAAATTCAATTTTCCTCCATAGCAGCAGTCCCCCGTTATTCATTGGAAAACAGAATAGAAAAACCAATACTACAAGTTGCTAGATAGAAACATTGGTTTCTTCTGAGCTGTACAACAATTTGGATGCAAGATCAAGACCATGATCCTATGCATTAAGATTTTACCATCAGTCAAGCCCGGGGAGCCCCTGCAATTTTT